CCTAAAGGTCTTAAAAGTGATAAGCGATAGATTATCCTAAAATTTTATATTTTATGGAAGACGAGAAACGTGTATAAGTCCCAACTATACCATTTGAAAAGCTGTATAAAGGCGTTGCTGCCGCGACAGGTTAGTATTGCCAGATATGGAAAATTAAAATCGCCAATTAATGTACTTGTAAAACATAGTAAAAAAATTATCTCAATTTACTGCAATTCATCTAAAGTACCTAGCTTTGTAGTTTGTGTTGCTAATGTACTAATGCCCCAATTAATTAAAGATTCATTTCATAAAATTACAGCGGTGCAGTGGACAATCATTTGAAATAATGTAAAAAAAAAATTGAAAATGAATACAGATTAAAGACGCGTATTTAAATGAACCCTTTATTATAGAGTGTCAGAGCGATAGTGAAAGCAATTCCACTGATTCAGAAGATGAATTATTGGAACCAGTAGCTCACGCGGGTACATTTTTCAAAACAGAAATTCCTGGAATTGGGCCGCTTGAACTCCGAGATCATGACCACAATTATTTTTATAAAATATAAATAATATATATAATAACACTAATTCTCACTAATTTTAAAATATTAACGCGAAATTTGTTTTATTTTATATTATGTGTAATGAATATGTAGTTACCTATTTTCTCGGTGAATTTCTTAAATGGCAATAGTAAGCACTCCACTAGCGACGCTGTCAACTGAACAGATAAGTTGGTGGCACTATAATAATATTAGCAAATAGTTCCATTTTCAAAATTTCAACTTATTTTTTATTATACCGTTTACAAGTGGCCAGTTCTAAAAACTTTCAATGTCGCCCTCGCAATCTACATCTAACACCACAATATCCAACACAGGTATATCCAACTTTACTCTTAAAGTGGTGATTAATCACACTGATTAATTTTCTCATTTTGAATCATTAAATTTCCGCAAAGTAACGATTCCATCCAATTGCCGTGTGTTCGAACGATACGCAATTTATTACATAAAAACAAATAAATTTTTACTGCTCCGCTTAACGATTTTTATCTCTTGAATATTATAAAAATCAAAAGGTCAATAGGTGAGTAGGTTAACATTATATTAAATATTTTGATTTTATTGTATGTGTAAGTCATAAAAACCTGTTTGGGACACTGAACAATATATGTATTAGTATAGATTCATTTTTAACCTTTGTTCTAAATGTATCACGGCTACATGAATAGCAACCAACTCGAAAATACTAGTAAATAGATACCCTTTAAATAATAATAGATGAAAAACGATGTCGGTAATTATTGAATTGTATCCTATGTAAAGCCTCTCTGAACTTTAAATTGAAGGTCGAAAATCTATCTACTTAATTATATTTTTCATAATTGCCCATAAACATCTACATCTATCCTTGACTACGAATCAAAATGCAGATGCGTTGTCTCCCGTGAACACTGGAATACCTCGTTTCCAGTAAAAAGAGTCTCCAGTGCTCTACACTCACCATACGAAACACAGCAGTGTCAAGCTCCCATTTTACGCTGGAATTCTGTGAGAACGTGGTCCTTCCCCGGTCGAGCCGACCCATTCGTGCTACAACTATACTACTAATATAGCTGCAGTATGGCTCTAATTTTGGTAGAGCCATGCTGCATCTATATTAGATATGTGAACATAATTGTCTCTTTGCCTCGTGTGTGGATGTCTTCAAGGGAAGAGTGAATAGGCTTTTGTAAAGTCAGTACGCGTCATCATCCTAGGCTACATCACCACTTACCATCAGGTGGGATTGTAGTTAAGCGCTGGCTTAGTATAATATATAAAAAAACACCTCGTATGTTTGAAACCAGTTTACAATTCGACTTTAAGATCATTTTGTTTTTTAAAGATTTCTTACGATTTGATTACTTTACTAGCAGGCCCGCAGATGTTTTTTTACCCTTTCCTGTAGGGTATGCAATTTGTTCCAAAAATATAGAATAAACTAAGAAATTGACTACTCCGTCACTTATCGAATCCTAGCATACAAAATAGAACAAATAAAATAAGTATACATAACCTTAATTGGTCAAGTAGTTCAGATCATAATAATATATTATACGTTAACGTAAGTTACACAATCACTAACAGACGCACCAACGATTATTTTACATATAAAGTTAAATATTTATAACAATTTTAAAATTTTATGTCTTATACATAATTTTAAAAAAAACTGTAAATTATAATATGACCTTTGTTCCTACGTCCTCCTCTCAATATTGAGAAGCGCGTTACATGTTTTGCATGTCTATGGTTTTAGGTTTTACAATTTATCATACATCGTAGAGACTTATAGCTCGAGTACGATTTACGTAATTGAGCTGCAGCTTAGTGTAATAATAACTAATTTTTTTTTTCGGAACTAATAAGAACTTTCTGGTGTTTCTACTGAGTACCTAAGTCGACTTTGATAACGTTCACGGGATAGGATGGGTGTGATGGTTTCGGTAATCATTTGGTGTACATATATACACCAAAAAGTAAATAAATTGTTAAACAGAATTCTGGGTATTCATATGATATGTGTACCTAAATTATTAGGTTACCAATTTTCAAACGAGACTCATTGATTTATCTGTTAAAATGCTAATGTTATTACTAAATATGCAAACTACAGTTAAAGTTGTATATCAATTTAAAAATGGTAATAATAAAACAATCTAAAGGAATAATAATAGTATTGAACGACATTACTTTTATTGAATAAAATTTACGGTGTAAAATTGTTTCACTTAAAGAATTTGGCCTATTGTGAAAATGTTTTTCCTTTTTTTATGGAAGGGAGTGTGAAAAATGAGCGCATTCTACCCGATATTAAGTGGATACCTACGGCCTGTAGACATCTACATCTATACCCGATTAAGAATCAAAGTGCAGATTCGACGTCACCCTTGAGAACTTCGATTGCCTCTTTAGCAGTAAAGAGGATGTCCGGTTCTCGCTTCCCACCATACGAAACACAGCAACAATTTGCTGCTATTTTATGCTGATATTCTATGCGAGCGTATTCATTTCCCGGTCGAGCTGACCTATTTATGCTGCAGTCATAATACAACGCAACGTGCTGCTAAATAAATACCAATAACAGTAACCTACATAAATATTTCTCTACTTAACTTTTAATTATGGACCAATTTGTAAGATTTTGTAGACATTAGGTCAAGTACTCTATAGTTAAGGCATTTAGTATTCTTACTCAACACTAACTTAAGTTATCAGGGTTATATCATAGACCACTACATTCTATATATTTTTAAAATTTTAATACAGGTCATTTATATATGCACATACTGCACTGTTCGTTGCATAAACGATACAAAAGAACAAACAACAAAATATTAGTGCAGTCCTCATAAAGTCAGATTAGTTCCGCAGAGCCCATTCACAGCTTAGTTTTCTATTGTTCCCGGAGAACAGAGCTTCTTTCCACTGTTTCGACTTTTTAGGCCAACCTCATACTCATTTTTGTCGATATTCTTGTGGAAATTAGTTGTCTACTATAGCTACTGCATTTGATGCGAATGCTACAAAAACATTGCCTATATTGCATTCTTAAATTTGGAATTATTTTTTACATAATTCCGTTTTAACAAACTGTTATTCTGAATTCGATAAAATTTGCAGAAGTGTTGACGTAATTAGCACAATAATTGTCAATAAACGCCTTGGAACCAACTTACTCGTATGATAGTTATGTATAATGATTAATAATAATAATCTTATTATTATTAATCATTAATAATGTTATATTATATTATCAGAATATTATTTGCTACACAAATATATATTTCCTGTTATATATTTCCATTTCTATATTTGTGTAGCCCAGCCAGATGAGAAAACTATTTAAATAACCCCCCCCCCCCCCCCCCCATAATAATAACAGTTATAACAAGGAGTAGGTATGTGGCGCTTCTAAGGTACAGTGGGAGTTTTGGCACACGCTCGCTGTCAATATTTCGAATAGCAGCCCAGAAACGTCAACCGCTAGTGACCGTATTTATTACAACGAAATTAGTATGGCACCGCGGCCCTGAAACGGAATGCTAGCGCTAGCATGTGTTATGTGTCCAATCAATTCTTAATAATGTATTTAATTAATGTTATATGTCATCACCACGATTTATCTGAACGCAGTCGTAATGCTATTTGGTCTGTCCTTATGGCGGTTTCGCTGTTTAACATTATGTATGCTTACTCTTACAGTTGATGTTTTTCTACGTACATATAATACGTCGTAGCTAGATCGTAGAATTGATCATAAATGCCCGGCCATTTCATGAAACACAACCATTTCCATGGCTTCGGGCCATCACCGCTGCTTTATATACAATATGTATGCATATATAGTTATAATATATAAAAGACATAAAGTAATGAAGACTATTAAAAATACGATATTAACGCTTCTACAGGAACATAAGATGAAACTATTTTACGTTAAGACTATAAAATGTTTGAAGCCTTGTGTTTAGTTTTTATCGTCAAACGAGCTCTATTTATTGATTTGGTCATCCCATATCATGATATTATGGTCAACAATCAGTGAAATATTTCATGAAATGCTGCCATTTCACGAAATGATCGGCTTTATGATATTATGATCAATTATTCTATTCTCACGGCATTTGCACAAATGCATGCATACATGCTTGAAATTATTGTTTAAGTATTGTGCCTTAGTATAAGTCGTACCATTTTGAATAATATGCTGAAAAAAGATCTCTTTCATTTAATAAACGCATTTTATAATATCAAGTAACGACTTTGTCGTTGATTAAATTAATTTTTGAAACTATTTTCCATTAGATGAAAGTTCCAATTTTATATATGCTATAGATATTGGTATTCTTTATAAAGAGCATTTTATAAGAAATTATTTTATTAAACCTAACGGCGCGATGCTTAGTAACGTTATAATATTTATAAATGTTTGCTTTTTGCATAAAATTGTTACTTTTAATTTCTCCAGCACATGGTGGGGACGGGCATGGCGAACCCGTTCCCTGCGGCGGCGGCGGCTGCTGCAGCGGCGGCTCAGTTCGCGGCCAACGGCGACGCGTTAGCCGGAGTGAAGGCCGAAACAGGTGCACCCACAGCACCGCAGCAGGCTCAACTGGTTAAAAGCGAAGGCCCGCCGCCACCGGCTCCGCTCCCGCCTGCCAATTTCTCACCGCAACCTCCCCCACAACCGCACACACAGAATTCCATAGAAAATCAAAACAATAACTCGGTGGTAAGTGCTTTTATATCATTATTTAAATTATATTTATTAAGTAAGATTTACTTTCTTTATAACTAATGTGTGTTCGTTCAGTGTCTGCGAATAAAGTTAAAACTTTCTTGTGTATAATAAAAATTATATTTTGCTTTCTAAATCAATCTAGATAGGTGTCATCTAGTGACTAGTGACATCCCTAGAAACATTTTTCTGGCGCTGAGCAAGCTCGATCGCCGAGGATTAAAATACATTACAAAGTGATTGTGAAATGGTTGCTATCTTAGTGTTTGAGATACACTTTTAATATATAGAAATAACCGCGTAATATTTAAAATTTTGATTTGGCCTTCTCAGACCTAAATAGTTTTCAGAATCAAAAAGCAATATTTTCAAATAAAAGATGTGTGCTCTTACATATTTCTAGTTTCTTACCAACATTAATTTATTGCGTCTGCCTCTGAGTCTTCATATTAATAGTTTTCAGTAGCCAACGCATTTTAGAAACATTTTATATTCCAGTGCTCTGCATGAAAACATTATAAACATCATATTTCACAATCAATAGGCGTAAGCCTACTAAAAATATTTAGTAATTTAGAGTTAACGTATTTGCATTATTTAGCGTTTTTATCACGAAATCATTGTTCATTAAGGTTATTCATTAAGGACATCTGGGGCACTGTTTTAAATAAGCTAAACCTAAAACATTCAGACCGGTAACAGTGACCTTGACCTTGACAGAAAGAAGGTTGCGTAGTTCACAAAATACAGTTTTAAGACGTTACAGTGTGCTGTGGGTTTCTGGGTCCTGGGGTGCTGTGATTGTCCCCGTGTTTCTGACACTATCCTAGCCGTCTTCCCACGTTATGGCGTTACATCGATCAGATTAGGACGAGTGTATGCGTCTATGTTAGCGCGTACACTTCTAGCACTATATATTTCAAGCGTAGCTGCTAGCTTCAGACAATATTTGGAAGTTGTCATCGTGATCGAAATCGTCCAGAAGAGCATCAATGTGACTGATAGTTATATGTACACGATCCACAGCAGAGCGAGGGCGAGTCAACAGAGGAGAGCACGCCTGTGAGCGTGGCGGCGGCGGTGGTGGCGCAGCAGGCGGCGGCGGCGGCGCAGCAGGCGGTCGCCGCGCACGCCGCCGCGGCCGCCGCGGCCGCCACCGCTAACGCCGCCTCGGACAAGAGCCTCGTGCCCGTCTCACAAGCCTCCCAGCCGAAGAGACTACACGTCTCCAACATACCCTTCCGCTTCAGAGATCCCGACTTAAGAAATATGTTCGGCGTACGTATAACATTACTTTTATTAATGCACGGCATGACCCCTTCACGTCACTGAGCTTGCAAACTCCGATCTATACTTCATTAATTGCCGATGTTTTACATTTCAGCAATATGGAACGATACTTGATGTAGAAATTATCTTCAATGAACGCGGCTCGAAGGTAAGCATGGTTCACTCTGTCACATCTCTTGTTATACAAAGTGACCCTGAAATCCACGTTAATAACGTGGATCTCATTGTGGCCACTTTTACGATTTTTATAAAGAGACCATGTATCTTACGAAGCAATAAACATACGAGCCGTGAACCGTTTACGAACTTTTATGACTTACTAAAGTCAGCTATTATTAGACGAAGCTTATCGTAAAATATAAATATTTAATCAAACAAAATAATTAACGTAATAAGGTTCGATTTCAAATGTTAATAAATAATTTTTAAATATAATTTTTATTTCTAATTAGAATGTGTATAAAAGTAGTAGAAAAAAATGTTATTAAGGGAATGTTTATTGCTTCGTTTATTTTTGTGAATTATAGGAATTATTGTGATATAAAGTACACTGCAATACAAATTCTCAACACAAAACAAGTTTTCAAATTGAATGTATGTATTTTAAGCGCCACCTATGTTAAGAGTAGAATATATTTTTTTTAATTTATTATTGCATGCACATTAAATTTTTTTCTATATACTTGCGACAATGTAGTTATAATCTGATTTCATGTTTAATTGTAATATTTTCAAGTTCCACTTAATTTGTCAGAATCGTATAAAACATTTAGAACTCTCTGTTACTTATTGAATTCGGATTATATTTTTATAAATTTTTTTAATGGCGACCTCGTGACGCAGTGGCTTAGCATTGAGTTCCGGTGCTGAGGGCCGCGGGTTCGAATCCCGCACGGAAAATGTATTTATATGGACTACAAATAATTGGTATGTTTGTCTTTGTGCAATTTATGTATGTAAACTGCCTCCACAATACAGGAGAAAATCCTAGTGTATCATGTCAGTCTAAAAGGCATTTTGTTTTATGATTTTTGAAATATTTAAGTTTCTGCTTTCAACGATTACATATTTCCCTACGCGTGTGTAATTCCTATAATTCACAGATACCCTTCCTTCGTAGCTATTGCTACTATGATGTTATACTATATTTTATTTGCTACCCATTGACATATGATTTTAGCATTGGATAAATTAAAAACGAATTGCAATAGCTAAGAAGTTTTACTAACAATTACTATTACTGCCCAAACTAAAGGAATTAATTAAATTTAATATTTTTACTTCAAATGTACTCCTGTCTCTGTAAGATATATGCCTTTTATTAATATTAACTTTCTTCAAGTCTCGAGGCAAAAGGGCTTAGACTAAAATTATTATAATTGTGTTTAAAATATACTTTCTATCTCATAGCATATTCTTGGTATTAATGTTTGGTGCAGTATTTCTAATTGCATTGTATATTACCATTAAACAATAATTTTAGTGATATTGTAATCTCATTTTAAAAAGTGACTGAACCGTTAAAATTTTATTTGTACCTCTGACATGCTTTTAAATGTACATCCATTTATTTTTCAATATAACTATTTTGAAAATTTCTGTTCTAAAATTAAAGATTATTACAAGAAAGCAAGTCATCGGTATTACTCTCCAGAGCAACATTAATCAATTTTCACAATTTAATTATACTCAAAAAACAACTCACTGTAAAATCTCAGTTCATACAAATGAATGTGCAATAAATAAGAGAGATAAAGTGACTTTACAAAAATTGATTGGATTGACCGCTTATTCGTGTTTACCGCTTTCCTTGTGTCAGTTTGGTGACCGACCCTACAGTAGTCCATGCCCGCTCATGTCTAAAATGTATTTTACTCTTTTGATATAATAGCTCCGAATTATTTTTTCTTCAATGCCTCACATTGGGATATGCAATATTAGAGAGTAATGCATCGTCACTAAAACAGCTGATTTTCTAAGTCACATTTTCAGGACAGCTCTATTATTCATGTAAACTAATAAATATTTTACTGTCGTCCAAACTGCACCGCTTGCTCTTCTTAGTTGTATTTAAAATGGAAGTAACGTAACTTTATACGTGTCTATTGCTTTTGTTTATGACTAGATTAATCTTTTCTATGTGTGTAGTTTGGGGGATGCGTCATTCCTAAAACTGATCTATTAGATTGAAAATGTAATTTTTTTGTAATCCTAGTTTTCTCAGTCATGCGCTTCCTAACAAGGGGATATAATGTTTCATTAGTTTTTGGGCATGTATACTTCGCTGACCCTAATTACTTTCTGTGTTAATAAAATGATGAGTTACATTTCCTAGAAGTAATTTTGGTGCATCACATAGTTTGGCTTAATCTCGAGAATGGCATTATCTACATGTCTTCCCCGTCTGCTAGATCGATTTGTCGACAACGAGACTCTTTATTATGCGTGATATGTCGCGACTTATAGACGATTTGTGTCTTACGTTAACAGTATCGTTATTTACTTGCGTCTCCACATATTTCATTAATAATCACGCGGCCTATTATTTCTTTCTCTCTTTCTCTTGGCCCACATTATTGTTTATTTTTAAGTTTTTATTAAATATGTGCACCCAGAATGGTAATAATTGTGATAATAGAGCTGTCATGCTTTTATAAGTGTAAGCGTTTCGTACAATCAGCAACTTGTTTGCCACTTTCACAACTCGTCTCTTCCACTGTATTGTGTGCTGTGCTAGCTGCTTTTTGTATCTATGGGTTATCACCATGTTTTAATAGTAGTTTACTTTTTACCTTAGCACGAATGAGTATAAAACTGATTTAGCTGGATGAATATTTAATAATTATAGTTTTTTATATTTAATATCAGTTTTAGACGATCTGTTATCATGGTCATCTAAGTCAAATTGATAATATATATTTATAAAATAGCGACAGCGAAATTGCTTTGAAAAGAATAGGACTGTTTTAATTTTTGGCACTGTATACTTTATGCACAATAATTTATTTCAAACCCTTAGGTTGGTGGTAGTATATAGACAAAAACTACATTCACCATTGATATTTAAAAAGACTGAATTTTTTTTCTGAACTACGTAAAGATTATGCCGACTAAAAACCTTGAGGAATTACATATGCAAAATCATTTTTGTTTTGGTTTTAAAGACATTTGCTTAGCTGAAAATAGATTAATTTAGTTACCTGCATGTCGATGACTGATAGAACAAATTGCAGCTAACATTTCATACGTCTTTGATAACAGTAGTGTCAATCGAATAATCTTCGAGGCGGATTCCTACATTATATAATACATACATTGATTTGTAATAGTACAGACTACTAGGTCGAGAGACATTGAGTATACTGATACCCAAACGCTTATGTGTACCCATTCAGCTAGAGTACGCTCAAACTACCAACGTAACGGAGACGAAAATCCTATCGATATTTCACTACCATATTTAAATAAAGAATATGCAATGCATAAATGTTAATTTTTGTTGCACGTTGTTTTTTGAGCGACGCTGTTTTTAATGCATGTTTTGTCTGTCTTGCATGCAGGGATTCGGTTTTGTAACATTCGCAAATAGTGGTGATGCGGAGCGAGCACGAGAGCGTCTTCACGGCACCGTGGTTGAGGGCAGAAAGATAGAGGTGTGCATGACTCAATGATTACCATCCGTAGCACTATGTAACTTTAACATCCCGCCCACGCCACCGCAACCTGCGCTCCTCTGCTCTGTAGTTACTGCCATGCTAGAGCGCGCCCAGCCGCGCCGGCCCGCATATTAGCACTAAGTATGCCTCCCTCGCCCTCTGATCTAATCCACAAACAAACAAACCTTATTTATTTTATCCCTTTACTCTCTAGACGGCCATTTAAAATGCCGATCGATTGAGAGACTGTCTCACAGAGAAATGTAGAACGAACGTACCGTCTCAGTACTGAACGAGGTAAGACAGCAAACGCATTTTAAGTTACATTATTTTAATTCGATTTCATTGTTAATTAATTGAATATCTGATGTTTGGTTTTAAGAACCCGAGATCATTATTATTTTAATTTTAAGTGCTGAATGCCTGACGATAATTAATATTTTCATCACGACCATACCTGAAATTTAATAGCCTATTAATTATGTAACACTTAAAAATTTTATTATAAAAACGAACCCTTTTATAGGTATAATATGGCATTAAATGTCTGATTTTTACCGATTTGCTACAACCATATCAAATTTGTCTCGTATTGAGTGAGATTCACCCTTTACATAACCATATTTTTTTTAAATTATAAATATCTATGTGATTTTAAAGTTCGGAACAATAGTCACAGGGTATGTTTTATTGTAGATGAATTATAAAGAAATTTTAATAGGAATTCAACCCAGGACTGTTTGCCTCTGATGACAATATACCTAATACAAGTTCTAAAACTCGACTAAATGGAATTATCAAAATATTTTCATTGATTTTGTGTTATTTATCTTCATATCCTATGAAGTCATTAAACTCTTTCTTTAATATACTTTAACATATTGCTTACTTCCATTAGGTTAATAATGCTACTGCGAGAGTACAAACAAAGAAACCACCAACGGTCCCCAACGGTGAGTACACAATTCTTTAGTACATATAGTTTCGATTTAAATAAATACTGTTATGATTAATTGCTCATTAACATGTCACATTAAACAAATAAAGTATTTAAAACTTGTTTTGATAAGTTATAAACATGTTTTGTCGTATATAATGCATCTTGGGATTTTCTCTTTTAATCCATCCAGTTATACTGGCTAGAAATGGATCAGTTCCCACATTGGGTGAGAGAGCTGGCATACTAAAGATCGGTGTTGTCCATGTTAATGTATTCATTGTTACATGTTCGTTAGATATTTTGTCGGAATGCATGTAGGTGAATGCTATTTAGAGAACGAATCCACTGTCAACGCCGGAGACAGTCTGCGTCCGAGCCTGACCTACCACGCGCACGGAATAGCGCGAGATATCTGCAATCATGAAAACATTCATTTTTAACGGCTGGTATTACATCTCACTTTCGGAAAACAACAAAATGAAAATCAAAAATTTATACTATATACTATGTTAAACTTTATTTCTAAATTGGACTCTTTAGTTTTCTGTGAATTTAGTTGCATCATTTATTTTCATTTTAACGAACTTAGAACTATTTTTTTTTCATATCAGCACGCTAACGCATGAGGCGCTATTTTACGCTGTATAGATTTAAACCTAAGGGTATTTTATTCTGCTATATAAAATATAATTTACAAAGGCTGTCTCCGGTATTGTTTGCCTGAAAAAAAAACCTCTCGGATAACACCAAATTTAGACAGCTTGCTACGTTATTATTCCTCTTTGTCTATACAAAAAAAAATATCTTGACGTCTGCTAGAAGAATGCAACTTCAGTCTTGCACTATCAATATTTCTACTCTATAGCGGAGAATGACCTCTAGGCCTGTTTTTATGTGCTAGTCTAGAAAAATGTTTATGAATAATTTGTTCGTTCTCTTTTAATATTTAATTCCTTTTTGTTTCAGTGTGCGTCCAATGGCCGGAAGGTGAGACCTTATTTTTATGCTCTTTGTAATTTCAAAATATTGACAGCTTCCGCGTTTACATTAATTACATAACATTCATTCGAGCATGAATTTTCCTTAATTATGTGGTGGGACTATATATGGTTTATTAGTTACTTCTGCTCGATGAGACGTTGATAATGTATGTCACGACATGATTTTAAGGCATTGTAAATTATTCTAACGGACATGCTTCTTTAGAACAGAAAGTAGGAATGTATTTAATCGATCGCACGGTGGTGAGCATCCGACTATTTTGATACTTGTGATTTCAGTCATGCTGTAATGTGGCACGGCCTTGTTACTCTCGAACTCTCGATGTGAATATAAGTTCAATTGTAATTGTCACGTAAATTAATATGCATTTTAGCGCATAGTAATTATAGTAACATAGATCGCCGTCTCTTTGTGATTAATGTTTGTGTGGTACGAGCACTATTGAATCTGTATCAACCTGGGATTCGCGGCTTTATTCTGTGGTATTATACGGCTCTAGAGGATTTAAGTAACTTTGGTATAAAAAAAAGATGTAATTATTTCATTAATTTTTTTTTTATTTCAAAGCGAACTGTGCTTTGCACAGTTCGCTTTGAAATAAAACGTTCAAAAAAATTTAAAACATTTTGTTTATGAAAATTACGATTGACATTTAAAAATTGTAACAATACTTTTATTCTAGAAGTCAACAAAATTTGAGAAATCGTTTGTTTGGCATAAATTGTGTATTTTAGTGCATTTTAATAAAATCAGAAATAATGTAAACAACACACAAAATCACTATTTTCCACTCATTGCATAAAGATAAATTATAGCATCTTACTTACATTTCTTCATAAAACGCTATATTGTTGTTCATTTGCACATTTTGATTTAAATCAACACTATTTTCTAATATCAAAATGTCTATGAATTTTAAATATAATAAAAATGTAATTTATGGCTTTCTTTAATTATTAAAAACAAAAGAATCACTTTTTTACAAAAATAATACTACTAAAACTGTTTTTTTTTATTTGTTTATCTTCGCGGAGCAGCCACAACGGTGCAAGTACATAGATAGCATTATGCTGTTGTGTTTCGTTTTGTGGGTGATGAGGATCGTAACTCTATTTATTTTACTGGTAACGAGCCGTTTCATGTTAGTTCTAGATGGTAATAAAGTATAAAATAGATAATAAAGTATTTTACATATTAATATTTAATGCAGGCTAGATGAGGCCTATGGGGTGTATTCACCCACTTACCATCCCGTGACTGTGTGTTCATTGATAATACACGAAATTACAAACTAACCACAAAATGTTGTTTATAGATAGACAGTTAGAATTACGTCATTTATGATAGATCTAAGTAACATTTCTCATAAATTGTTTCGAAATTTATTCACGTTTTCTTATTAATATTCGATCGTAAGACATCCGCCGCTTTTATTTACATTGTTTCTGATTTCATTTGAAACTATACTATATTTGATGCATTATAGCTAGATTTTGGGTATAACTGGGACAACTTTAAAACTTTGATGGTCGCCGTATTGACGTAACTTCGAGGATATTTTTAGCTTAACTTTGCGTAAAGTTTGATCGAAATAATTTTACGTAAATTTTGCAATTGATAGTCGCTTTAACGAAACTTGGGATTGCGTTATTAACAATACTTGATAAGTGGCGGCTCCACTTTAACAATACTTGAGGTATGTTTGTTAAACATTCGGACAATTTCGCGTAATTGTTGATGTTGTGAAAACTTCGATAATTAGAAACTTAGGGTTTTGTCTAAATTTTGTAGTTGATAGTCTTGACGTCAACGAAATTTCGGATATTTTGTTTAAACATTGGAATATTGGAGAAAACGTTTGGGTCGAGTCGGGTGTTGCGATCGCAAAACGCAGTCGCGCTGCGAGCCGCGATGTTTGAGGCGCGGTGTGTGCGCAGGGCTGCGGGTGTCCGGCGTGACGTGGCCGTGGCTGGGCGCGGCGCCGGCCGCCACGCCCGCGCCGCCGCTCGTGCTGGCGCCGCGCGCCGCGCAGCGACGCAGGTAACCGCATGCCGCTGTTGTTTGCATGTAGCCGTGCTGCGCGCCCGCGCGCCCCGCGACGCCGCGCACCACGCCTCACCCGCCCCGCACGCCCCGCACGCCCCACACGCGCTCGCGCACCTGCTGCCGCGCGCCTACGCCTCGCCGCTGCACGCGTACGCGCCGTGAGTACGCACTGCACCCGCGCACCCCGCCGCCACACTCCGCGATTCGCGCGGACCATTCCCTCCTCACCACCTCCCCTCCACCCCCGCACATCTACTACACAAAATAAACATCAACAGCAGAAAACACACCACCACATCATTACCTCTACCTCAGCTATCAGCCCGTAAATAGCTCAATGTTAGCCATTGGCTTTTATATTTTAATTAAGCACTATCCCACCTGATAGTAGATGTTGATGCAGCCGAAGATAGTAAATGGCATTGACTAAGCTTAAAAAACTATAATATTTCTTCAAAACATTTACAATATTCCCTTACAATGTGGATGGGTGTGACATTCTAAGGAAATTTTAAGATACTTACTTAATTCTAAGATACACACTTGGCATCTCATATGAGATCCACAACATGAGATGGGATGATAGATCCTTTTATTCTGCTCCGACAGGGAAAAAAATATTTCAGATGAGAATCCAAAACCAAATCGGACATATTTAGCTACAAATGTCCAAGAGATTAATTACAAAATATTTCGACTATGTGGATGTCATTGAAATGACGCGTTGTGCTGAGTAAACCTCTGTACTCCCTCATTTTGTGTCTATACGCCCTTCTCACTTGCATACAGTCACTGCAAGTGTTACTATATCCCGGCACGACGCTGTAGCCGTACGCTTTTTAAAAGTGCCATTCGCTCCCACTCCTAATAACCACTTATGTTATTATAAACTATTTCTGCTTAATTTTGGATAAAAACACGTAAATCTATTCCAAAAAATATTTAATATAGAATAATAAAATATATTAATGTCTATTAAACAAGACCTTGGAATTTCTGCGTAGCTATTCCAATATTACGAATTCATTACTCGTAATTACATCCATCTTACTGCATAATTTCAATGCGGTTACACAGTTAACAGGAAAAACAAATTTCATTGAGGTATTACTTATTATTTGTACATTTCATAGAAGTATTATAATCACTAATTAAATGATTTCAATTATTCAAACAGGAGACGCAGCACACCCAATACTAATCTCCCTCAATATCCCATCCTGTATAAGTCCAACTATTCCGCAAATCTGCTGGTATGAAGTTAACATTTTTTTTCTTTCTAATTAGATTAACATATCCGCACTGTATAATTATTACTATATTGAACAAAGTTCAGTGTACGCTGCTCACACTAATATCTGTTGTCTGTTAAATAACTTAGCGTTTTCGTAGGTATTTTGTACTAATGTTGCACAAGCATCGCATGTTTTAAAATCCTGGGCCAACGCTCGCTATCAAATAATTATAAGTATAATAGTATTTTTAGATGTAAATTGTAAAAATTCTTTCCGTAGTCTCTTCACTAGATACCCTTTAAAGCTTGTTATTAGTATAGTTTATTACGATGTAACATACGCCTACCTATTATTTTTTAATATTTGCAATAAGCAAATTATTTGACCGTGAGTAAAAAAAAACCTTATAAAAATATTTTAAGAAATTAAAGTTTCGCTTTAAGCTAAAGAAACATAGTTATAAAATATTGTTCATATTGAAAAATAGTATCAAGTTATTATGTGATTCGTTTATTTTAACTATCACAAAATTATACAGAAGTCAACTATAAAATACAGCACTCTAGAAACATAAATCACCGAAAAGGGCAACTAAGAAGCTCCATAAGATTAGATTGTTGCTAGTGGATAAGGCATAATTTGAAGCGTGGTAGTTAATAAACTTGCAAAATTTGCTCGCTGAAAGTCTGTTACAATAATATTATTGCTTGCAACTTATGACGTCGACACCGACTTATGAAGTCGAAAAATTAGGTATTGTAGAATAGGCGAGTCTCCAACTCAAGTTGGTTACAAAAAGGTTATGTGAAATCTTAAGGCTTTTTACGTAATACTTATTGAACTATTGGCTCTCGGTAAAGGGCAACGAAAGAAACAAATCATATGCTGAATTGATGATGTATTAATATATTAGTAACTTTCATAATTAATTGACATAGACGCCGATTAAAATCAAACAATTTATTTAATTTTCGTTGTTGTTTTAAAGTGTAAATGTTATAATTAAATAATTCATTTTGCAGTGTCTATTACGACCCCTTCCTAGCGGCGGCAGCGACGGCGGATTCCAATTATAGACTACAGGTAAATGCATTTTTAAAATACTTCACGCTTATTTAACCTTATATGTATATTTGTGTTGTTTTAAAATCCATATTTATTTGAGTTAAATGTGTAAAAGATAAAACGAAGCGTAGGTGACCGTCCGTGTGTTGTTGCAGGCCGCGAAGCCCGCAGTCGAGGTAAATCACAGCGTGTTTTCAGCTCGGTTTCGATATGTGACTATTATCTGTTTACCTATCGCTTTCTAATTCATGTTTCACTGCGCTAGTACCTACAAGTTTGAAAAAGTCGTTGTGGAGTGTGTGCTGGGACTTGGTTGCTCTTTTATTTATCCGTTTGGCTCCCGATAAGACACCGCAATGCAAGGTGCACTGTTGTTTGTGGTAACAGGTGGTACACGGCCGCTGCCCGGCAACCAAAGCGCTTTGTAATTTCATTCCAATCAGTTAGAACTGTGGTGGGTAATTTAGTGTAGGCGCAAGCTGTGAACTGACTCGATTGGCCGCCATCACGCTCCGAGTAGAACATTGAGCCCACAACACGAGACCCAATCATTATTCTCCGAGTATACCTACTAACATTGTCTCTGTAGATCTTGTAAGAGAGTTTTATCATTCAGATGTAGTTTGTACCATTACTTCCTTCATAATATTTAGTTTTTAATGCATGACCGTCAAATATTCCGCCCTATGACATTTTTCACAACAACAAACGTTGAGTATTATTTGAAATTTGCTGCAGGACATCATAATATCTAGGATATGTACGGGGTACGCTGCATGATTATGTATGTAAATGACACGCCACGCAGATCTTACTGTTTTTTTTTTGTAAACTAGTTTCCGTTTGTGTGTATTAGCTTTTCTGGCTAAAGAATTTCTTATAATATTGATTAATCTGATCGAGTTTTGCCAAGTACATGTACTACGTATTTGCGTGAATCATAATTTCACGCATTCTGCGACGACAACGGTTGCTTCACTTGGTAAGACATAATAACAAACCATTTTGCTAATTTTTTAAAATTCTTTAATCAATGATAAACAACTACATTTAGATCAAAATTTATTACTAATGGTGCCTTTGTGGGTTCATTGTTCAAAGTATTTACCATAATTATAAAACACTTAAAAGTATTTTTATATTGTTAGGTTTCAAATTATTTCTAATTACGTTAGTACACTTTCAGTGGTTTAAACTTGTATGGGTTCAGATTATACTTTTTGAAACTATAAAGGGTTATTTTGCAAAGGGTAGCGAAATTTTAAACTTAAGTTCAAATATATAAATAATTATGTACTTCTACTTTTATTTGAAATTACTCCAAATTGAATGTGATTTATGGGCAACAACTACGCGCACTTCCGCTCGACCTCCTTTTGCCGACCGATCGACCTTACGAATGTGTGCGTGCATAGTAAAATAGTAGGTGTTAGATATTTATGAATGGCAATCAGTTAAAATAATGCATTACCACGCATTTTGAATTTAAAAGATAAAAAGGACAAAACTACTAAAATAGTTGACAAAAATTATTGCGTCTAGAAAAAAGTTTATAAAATGAGTTTTATTATTTTTCTATGATTTTTCAAATAAAAATTAATGTATTTTAATTAAATTCTCAGAAAAAAAAAACATTTTTGGGAATATCAAATGACTAAAATCATTTTACTCTATTCAAGTGTTGCCATTTACTATATTCATACTATTTTCTTATACACTTTGTAAGACTACCAACACAACACACAAACACAAAATATTTTAATTTTAAGTTATTAATAATAACTATACTATCAGTAATAATAAAAATAAAAGTGACATGGTTAGAAAATAAGTCTCTTACAAAGAACTTCCTACAATAATACATTATCTCAATCATAGTAATATGTAACAATTCCATTTAATGTTATGGCAACACTAGCTAAAACAAAATGTCACTGTTTTTTTTAAACGGCTCTGGGTTCTAGCTCTTCTGAGAATGTCACTGTATGACACAAAGGCCCCGGAGCCATGCCAGAAATATACATTTATAATATTTGAATATATAATAGAGATACAATAATCTAAAAACTCAATTATGTAGGTAGTTACATTATGTTGAGAATGTATTAAGCTATTATCAAACAACCACATGCCGCATGACTTTTTCCAAGTGACATAAGACATAACCCAAAAAGGTTCAAATCTAAATATCTTTTTTTTGACGCCTTCTCAGGACAAAATTCTTTAACAAAGTTATTTAGGGACTGACGCTTAACATTTTAAGATATTTTTGATATATAGACGCCACCATTCCTTCTCAACTAATTTTATGTATGAAAGTCTACCATTGTTCTTTGGTCGGTTATTGCAAAATAACCCTGTATATTTAATTACATATTTAAAGATTTATTTTAACCTTTCAATTATAAAAAAAATTTGTTAAACACAACATTTAGGCCAGCGTGACCGAGTGTTAATGCCCTACTTGTACGTTGGCTATTTTTGTAATATATCATTAGCACTATACATTGATGAGCTGACCTAGTGCATACACAGAAAAATGATACGGAAAGATGATTGAACTGTTACTTTATTTAAATGTAATTTTAATAATGTAGTCGACTTTTTCTGTTAAAAAATAATTTTTTGGTCTGTCAATTTTGTTATATCCTATTAAAAATTCACCCTTCTTTGATATTCAGTGACTGCGAACAACATTTCGTTTTCTTTTGTCTATTGGCAAATAATAAGATAAGTTGGTCCTTTGGATGTCAACAATTTGATTACAAACAAGATTTGTTATAAAAGCTTAAGTAAATAAATGCGTAACGTTGAACTGGTTGCATATTTCGTAAAAAAGTACCGGAGCATATATGTGGGACTATAAATAATTGTTCTTAATCTGAATGTTCGTCTCCTCACCAGATGCATTCTAATGATTTGTAATCATCCAGGTAACTTTCTTTTATGGTGCACCAGCTCTAAAGTGCTGATCGTAAGAGCGTTCAATTTCGCTAACAGAATGTCGTCAAGCGTTTATGTGCTTGAAACATTCTTTATATCGTTTAAAAAACGACTACTTCATGGTGGTGTGCAAGGCATTTATATTAATTAAGAAAAACAAAAAAGAAAAGAAAAACATGCTTGCTTGTGTTTGCCACTGTAGGTAGCGTTAGCCAGCCCAAAGTAATTGAAAAAAATATATTTATTGTTTACAACGTTATTTTCTATGGTGTTTTGTCAGATTTTAGCATTGCACTATATTTACCATGATAAATTCTACTAAAACTACAAGAGAGGTGCGTGCGATTTTAAATTAGACGATCTTTACTCAATTAAAATTTTTGACTCTCGAGCTTACGCACACTAAAACATGCAAGTGCACCTACACAAGTAAGATTAATCTTCATTGTGAGAAAGAAATACTATACGTAAATTATGCTCCAAGCTACCTACAAAATATTTTACCATCATTTTTTGTTATTGAAAATGCAGGCTATAAGTTTATATTTTAGTTATATGGGCAGGCTGCAGCGGCAGCGGCTGCGGCCGCGGCGCCGCTGCTGAAGTCGCCGCTGACGTCGGCGCAGCACGCGGCGGCGGCGGCCGCGGCCGCCAACTACGGCGCCGCCGCGCGCGCCGCCGCCGCCGCCGTCAGCGCCGCGCCCGCGCCCACGCTCGCCCCGCTCGCCACGTGCGTATTAACCCTATGAATAAGGCCCCTTCCTCACTTCTCCGCTGCCTGCATGTTTGTTCAGCATAAAGAAAGCGTGACGACATTCGGTGGACAACTGTACGAACTAAGTAAAAATGTTACCAGTGAAAAATCTAATTCAATAACATTCATATTATCGTAAAAAAAAGAGTTAACTCATTAGTAAACTGCGAATGATCTCCTGGACGTTTTCAATCATGGCAACCTCAATATTCTATCGCTTACGCTCGCGTCGGTTTCCACTATTGTTTTAATATAAAAATAAAGTGACAAACGAACTTACAATCCATCAGATGGTAAGTGGCCCGTGCAGCCCATGGACATCTGCAACCAACTTCAAATAAATAAGCTACAGATTCGTTGTCACCTCTGAGTACTAAAATGGAATACCTCATAGCCTGTAATTACACTGGCTCTCTAAATCATTTAGACCGTATCACAGCAGTGCAGACTTGCTATTTGAAGGAAGATATGGTAAAATGATGGACCTTCGATTTCAGCCACTGCGCCAAATTCTAGAATGAATAGGCTGCGCTCATTTTAACTTACCCTTGCTTATGTAACTTGCTAAACACTTATGCTATAAGATCCGAAGGTATTGTAAGATGCAATGTAAAAGACAGTGCGCATACCATTACGTTACTAGAAAAAAAGGCTCCTTTTACGCCTAAAGAAAGGACGCCAATCTCTCACTGTTTTTAACTTACAGTACTGCATCCACTGTTGTTTATCGGCTTGAAGGATACCAAGAAATTTTAGTTAGATTTGGCACATAATGGGTCCATGTGGCACGCCCGTACTTGCTACAGAACTTAAGGGGCTTTTCCTCTTTGTCTAAACCTAATAACAGTTGATACATATTATATCCCTTCTAGAAAAATCTACTACTGTCTTAATATTTACGTTTATAATAACAATAAGATGATGATAATGACAGGATGTCTTCAATTTGACATTTTCTGTATACTAATAATTTTGTTTTGATTTTATAACAATAATGATCATGTACATAATTAAAATATTACTAATTAATAATATATTACACTAGTAATACTCCTTAGTAATACCATTAGGTATTACTAATTAAATGTATTTGTAACACGTTATATAAATATATAAACTTTAGCTTTCTGCACTCCATATAAACTTTAACTATGCCAAATCTCATACACCTACGTGCGCGCAATATGCTTAAAAGGGTGTACAAAGTTTTTCCTTAACGTATTAATATATACGTAGACATTGTGGGTATTTTTAATATTAATATTTTTATTCTAGGTACGGCAGAGAATATGCGGATCCATATTTAGGTCATGGCATCGGACCGGTCACAGGCTATGGGGTAAGAGTAAATGCATTTTTCCTAATTGTCTTCAATTCGCAAGAGGTTTTCTAAAATATTTTTTTATTTACAGACGGCAGTGTACAGAAGTGGCTACAACAGATTTGCGCCGTACTAAGCCAGTGGAACGACTATAATAATTTTATTACTCGAATACGGAACCTTCGTCATCTTTACATAACATGACAATGAACTCTCTTTGTAAACGTACAAACATAATTATAGGTGTCAGTTAGTGGTAGCCAGTTACTATTTAAGTAAGCTTGGATAACATTGTTGAAGCGGAACGGGGTGAGATGTGCCCCGCGTATTGCCGTATTCCGATACGTAACTATATACTCGGCGGGCTCACGAACTTATGAATACCAAAGTCATTAAAATTTCTAACTGTTATAGTACACTAAGTTATACTCTATTGTAAAATTGTTGGTTAATTGCATATACAAGTGCGAGCAGCTATGTAACTGAAACGCATTCATTCTATTTAGATGTTTATAAGAATTACTATTTTACTACTAACATGTGGATGAATGTTATCGACGCCTACATGTTGTTGGTGTACGGATGTACGGTGTTGTCTAGTTTAGATGTCACATACATACGATTGACAATAGAAGTTATTTCACGTAACTATATTTAGTGAGCTTTGCACTTGCATATCATGTAGGAATTGTAAATATTGAAAGTGGAACACATTTTATTAATAAACAAACATCCTCTGATAGGAAAATGTAATTATTGTGCTTTGCCTTGTGCGATACGCGGGAATCAATCCAAGAGCAACTTTTGTAGTAATAGAGATTTTAATAATTGTAAAATCTATAGTTTTTTTAACGTACATTATACTTCCCGTCGCTCAACAGGCGTTCGGATACTCGTCACAGTAACAATGTTTTTTATACATCATCTCTCGTATACAAAATTATTTTGTAAATAGGAGGTGAACGCAGTTTTAAAAATATATTTAATACATAGGTACTCTAAATGTACTAAGCTGTTGTTAGATTATTGAATAACCAGTAGCATGGTGCGAATACAACGCAGTGCCATTTGTTTGGTTGTTATTAAGAAAAAATACGTTCGTCGAGAAGTTACCTACCTACGTACTATACATTTTGTAATAGTTATAGGCTTCGTTGCTATATTGTGTTATGTCGAGTTCGTCGCTACTCGGCTTTCAAATATGCAATATCCGATATAATATTCTGGCTTGAGAGCCGCTATAGTCCGAGTGCTATAAATAAGCATTTATTTTAGTACACGCTGAGAACAGCTCGCTACTTCCCAACACAATCTTTTCAGTCCCATTTTAAAAACGAATTTTCGGTCGCTAGGTTTAAATTGTCTAATTTTATTGAATCGTAGACATATAATGCTTTAGATGTAGTGTATAAGAGGTCACTCCATGGTGTTCGTACATATCACTGAGATTTCTCCTTGTAATTATGTTTTATTATTAAGACCCTAAACGGTGTCTAATCTAGCAGTGTTGTCTGATAACTTCATTTTATCGAACAAATATGCGTACGGGTCCAACCCTTTAGGCGTCGTAAAGTTAGATCTAACATTCGCATTAGAATTGTAAAGTATCGTAACATCTATGAATTCGCTCAACGTTTATACCAAAGCACAAAACCCATCGATTCAAGCGTTGTTCGGAATATTTGCATGTCGTTTCGTCCCCTCTCAATAGATTTAATAGTCTTTCAATTGGAAAAACTTAAAAAAGTCTATAAGTCGTACATAGATCGTTTAAGGAATTCTATTAGTTTCTTCTATAACCAAGCCTGTTTACATTTTAATCATTTTATTAATTTATAATTATCTTTATTTGCCATAATCGCTTATTAAACAATATTTAAAAAAAAGATCTGAACCAGTAACAACGTAGCCCAGTCTTGTGGTATTGTTATTTTCCGTATCCAGGAATTTTTTAACGATGTTTTTTATTTACTGCTGATATATTTAAGTTATATTTAGCGTTGTCTGCTGCTCTTCGGACCTTTACGTAGAAGCTTTTATACAGTTTTAATAGCCAAGTTCATGTGTGAGTTGTTGTTAACATATCAATATAAAGGTGTTATTGTTGAATGTTGCCTTGATGTAACAAGAATGCATCGCGGACAATGAGACGCCCTCTACAACAAGAGCTTTAATTATTTACGGAATCAACGTGTATCGGCCAATATGTTTGTCCAGTCTACGCCGTGTGGGCATTTCAACAAATCCATGACATGTCTTGTCTTGTAGATTATTTCTAGTCCTTATTCGCACAATTATATTTAATGAAAAGGTGCTTTCCTCGTAAAGGTTTCATGTGATAGTCGCAGAATGTGGGGCTCATGTATGAATTTGATTTTGTTGTAAGTCGTACCGTATGTTCTATTTTTAAGCTTTCTCGTGTCATATATCTGATTTTATGAGTTATGTCACTCATCTTTTAGTGCCACTGGCTTGTTAATTTAAGTTACAATTAATATTAAACGTAACAGTAGTCATGTTGCAGCTTCTTCGATCAATAATTTTGTGCTTTATCGCTAAATACTCATGTAATGTGGATGTATAATTTTAAGAATTTCTAGTTGTTTAGTTTCTACCGATTTTTTAATGCAAGTTTTTATACCTAAGTACAGAAAGTAAAGTACATGTGATTTAATTTGATGATTCGTCTTTAAGTTTTAACTACTCTTTTAATGAAACTGAGTCACAAACTCGAAGTGATTTTCGCAACTTAAACCATCTATTTTACGACACGGGTAAACGAGGCGTATTTTGAACGAGCATTTTATGTCGTTTTGTTTAGATTGTTCGTGATGAACTAGTTAGTGCGAGAAGCAGATAGTTTACTAGTATTTTAGCCTAATAAGAGCTACGTCTCAAAAATCGTCTCTGTTACTTCTACTCATGAATCGAAAACTAATTATTTTTATTACGTCATTTAAAAATGTTTTATAGGCGATTTTAATGAAATTGTAAAAAAAATCAAATGAAATACATTAAGTTTATGTTTTTATAGAAATTTCATAAATTAAGCCAAACTGTTGTTACTTGGAGAAAAATCTGAATTTAAATGACATATCTGACAAAATGGTTAGTGTGCTACAATAAGATTTTGAAAAGAAATCATCAAGATCAATGTGTTATAAATATAATAATCATTAAGTTAAGGATAATATTATGTATTTTGTAACGCAATTTGTTTCTCGGTTTTTATGAGATGTTAAATTAAATTTTCATACTATTCTCGTTTCTTTACGCTGTGCACAAATTTTACAATCCAAGGCTTATTAAATCAAAATTTGCCTGTCGTCAGTAGGGTAGTGAACCAGTTGTTATAGTTAATGCGCATAATAATAAAATTGAAATCGGTAGTGTTGCTAGCGGGGCCGGCCCGTGCTGGCAACACCGAGGCTGCCAATGATTTGTTTACGAAGCCACAACTGTATATAGTGTTATCGGCGGGGTCGACGCCGCACGTATGCGTATCATTTGTACCCTCGGCTCTGTATTGTTAATGTAGCGTGAGTTAAGTATCACTTGTTCGTAAATTGCACACGTCGACGCTAGTGTAGTAAAATACTCTGAATATTAATTAGCAGGGTCGTTGTTTCTGCCTGTGTGTCCCAGTTGTCTGTAGTAGTCGTGTACCCCTCCCCTCACTTCCCCTAACTCATAGCGTTGCACGGAATTTTCCTTTACGGCATGTCTATGAAACAAAAAGCTAATGGCGTAATGCATACCGATTGTCGATTGCTACATTTTATTTATTCTTTAAACATCAAACAATTAAATATTGGATAATTGACGAATGTCTCACTCGCAAAAATAAAACACTGTTATAATTATATTTGTAACCTGCGGCGTAAATCCCAAGTTATTTTAAGAAAATTTTATTTAATAGGTACTCAAATATTAAAGCAGGTAGCACGACTTCACGCAGATAGCCAATTCGTTCAACCAGATGCTTCCAGGACCAGTTATATATAATCTAGATGGCTCAGTTGATCGATTAGCTATCCGGTGTGACTCATCCTACCTCGCTCCTTGAATTTACTCCGTTTCAACGATCGACTGAAGTATGCGTTACACTAGGCCAGAGGGCGCGCACGTCGCCGATCTGCGAGCCGCTACTGGGCGGCGCTAGTTTAGTGCCGGACGCGGGCCGACCAGTATTTTTAAAACTACACCATGCTCAATTTCCGTATTTGTATGTTGTACGTATAATGTTAAAAGTAAATGTTTATAAAATGAGAATTGATTGTCTAAATAGCCCACGTTTGTTACATAATGAATGTCTTCCGTTCGGCACTTTTTTATAAAGTCACTGCACTTTTATTGTTAACGAGTGCAGTTAATCGGCTCTCAGGAATCGTGCAGATTTATGTTTACGAAAAGAAAAGTTTGAGCCAAGTGCACAGCGAGCTCTTTCATGTGATTTGTGATAAAGTGAATAATGAATGAAATTTCCTTTTTTCGTGTGGTGATTTTAAATTAGATTGCAGAGCTGATTTTCTCTTTTAAATGTAAATATATTTTTTTGAAATGGGAAATATTGAATGAAGTAAATCATTTAAAGCCTTTGGCATTGTGTACTCATTTACGTTATTAATAAATTATAGTATGGATTAATTTGTGTTTCTATGACTATAATCCTCTTAGTATAATTTTTGCATGAATTTTTATTATGCTTGCTGTTTAATTAGATTTTCTTCCTTGAATTTTCACTTCTGTTTGTATTAAATACCATGAGTAAATAATGAAATGGTGGAACATGTGTTATCGATGTCTGGCAGCGATTGGACACGGTACTGTGGTAATTCGACATACTGGTGTTGTAGCTGTATGGCTGCGGTAAGAATAGTTTGATTGGATGATAATTTTATTCGCACGATAAGATTGCAAACCTTGATGATAAATGCTAATCGTTATTTAAAATACAAGAATTAAAACAATCGTTATAGTGAGATTATCTAGCGCTGTGATAAGGGCTGCTCGTGCGCCGACTGCGTAGTCGAAGTTTACGCCGTGACCGCTCCGCACCATTAACTTGCTAACGATTAACTGTGATGTTTTTATCTGGTATACTGATAAGTAGGCGGTAAAATGGTTCTGTGTCCACCGTTCAGGTGGTCTTCGAGAGGTGGGTTTAATCTCACGAATGTTGCGAGAGACGACGCTGGAGGTCAGAAACGCGAAACAATTAGCGTAAGTATAATTCAACATTTTAAGGCGTCACAGACGTCCTTTGTTAATAGCTGTGGCATAGTGTGCGGTAAATCATTATCTTTGCTTCAATTACACAAATAAAAGCACATTAAATAATTAGTAAAACTACATATTTAAAAAAAAATCTCATTAATATTGGATAATAAATAAGGAATTCTGTTCAACGCAAGTACTGTGGACATTGTGTTGTGAAATCATTTGGGGGGAGTAGGTACCCATGACATTGATAAGACACTTTACTTGAAACAAACTAAGAAAAAAATTTGTAAGATTTTTATATCGGATGTTTTATTACTTGAAATATAGTGTTGGTACTTATTATAAACAAGACAATGAAGGTATTTATGAGATAGTAACAACACGTTAAATTACTATACACAGTTCTTAGGCATCTATAGAATTCTTAATATGGGTCACATAAAGCGAGTAAATCTAATTATGATCAGTGTGATATTGCTAGGTGAAGAAAATATATATTGATGCAACTCTGTGTACGAGGGCGACACTTAAAAGTTTTTAGAACTGGCCACTTGTAAACGATATAATAAAAAGTTCAAATTTTGAAAATGGAACTCTGCCAATATTATTGTGTATGTATTTTATTAATTTGCTTTTTTTATAGGATATGGTGACAAACGAGCACACAGTCCACCTGATGGTAAGTGGTTGCTGTGACCCATAGACATCTACATTTATCCTCAATAAAGAATCAAAATGCAGATGCGTCGTCACCCGTGAGGACTAAGATGGGATGCCTCTTTTCCAGTAAAATGGGTCTCCGGTTCTCTACACTCACCATCGAAACAGCAGTGTCAAGCTGATATTTTACGCTGGTATTCTGTGAGAGCGTGGTCCTTCCCCGGTCGAGCCGACCCATTTATGCTACAACTATACCTACTACTAATATAGCTGCAGCATGGCTCTACCACGTACAAGCACAATAGAATAAAATTTGTCATTTGTTTTCGATTTGGCGGCAAATTGAAAATTGTCTGTGTCACGTCAGCATGAACTTAACGCGAGAAAATTTACGTATAATGATTTTTTATGACTTTCAATGTCATTTAAGTCAACAAGAAAGTTATGATAGACTTCGATTGGCCTTTCAAGGTGAATCCCCATCTCGTGCTACTGTTTACAAATGGTTTAATGAGTAAACGTGGTCGCAATAATCTCACCGATGATCTACATGAGGAACGGCCTTCTACGGAGACGACTGAAGATAATATCAGTGTTGTGCGGCGTATGATAGACACTGACAAAAGAGTGACTTATCAGCAGATTCGGACAAGCTTAGGCATTGGTATGAGTCAAGTGCATAAAATCCTCCATGAACATTTAGCGGTTAGGAAGCTTTGTGCCCGGTGGATACCTCATAATTTGACAGAGGCCAAAAACTCCGTCGTGTTGATTGGTGTCGTGAAACGGTTCATAGATTTAACGGAGGTGACTTAAATGCTGTGTTCGACATACTTACGGGTGACGAAAGCTGGATTTATTGTTATGATCCTAAAATAAAAGACAGTCTGCTGTCTGGGTGTTTCCTTCCGAGGAGTTTCCAAAAGTTAAGAGAGGTCGAAGCGTAAAAAAATGATGAAGAAGAATGACGACAGGTCATTACGCAATAATTGTTTTAGAGAATCGAAAAACAGTTACTGCAGAGTGGTACACTAACAATGGTTTGCCACTTGTCTTGAAAAAAAATCGGGAGAAACGACCTCGCAGTAGAATTCTCCTTCACCAAGACAACGCCTCATCGCACACCGCCAATCAAACAACTCGCTACTTGGCGACGTCAGACCTGGTATTACTGGGTCACCCACCCTATAGCTCCGACCTCGCACCTTGCGATTTTTATTTATTTCCGCAAATAAAAGAAAAACTGAGAAAAACGTTTTATGGACGCCGAGGAAGCAGTGGCTGCGTTTCAAAATGCCGTCGAAGAGACCCCTAACGACGAGTGGGCAAAGTGCTTTTCTCAGTGGTTCCATCGGATGCAACGATGTATTGATGGAAATGGACACTATTTTGAAAAGATATAATAAAACTAATAACTTGCTAGTTTGTTCAGTATTTGATTTTCTAAGAACTTTCAAGTGTCAACCTCATATTATAATTCTCTAATGAGAATTGCATGCGTTTTATAAATCAAATTAAATGTTTAACACAGCAATAGCTTCACTCACTTCACTAGGGTTCACTCACTTGGCGGATAAGCAGCAGGTTGGTAGCCTGCCACGAGTGTGTGAATTTTTAGTTGAGGGTTTTTTTTATGGATTTTTCGCCATAAAACTCGTCCGTCGATAGGTCGACGTCCATGCTTTTTTATAGAATATAGAAGTTGGCACAAGAAGAAAAATTAAGCGATATAAAGTTAATACATTTCGCCCTATACGTAACGCCCCATGTATACGTAAATGTTTACACTTACATTTAAACAATACAGAATGGAAGATTTGAGTCATTTGAGAATAATTATTACTTTTATTAAAAGTATGGCAAATATTTTAAACTGAGTTAGTGAAATGTTTTTGACTTGGAATTTAAAATCAAGGTAGTTGATAAATAAAATTTTTGTGATAAGCAAAAATCTACGCGAATAGGTATGTAGGTATGACAAGTACGATTGAAACAAAAGCCGCGTTATCTGTAATTAATTATAGATGTTATGTATTTCCATTGACATTGGTTGTTTCGTATAGATTGCACCATGTGTGTTGTGTGTGTTATTCTTAAAAGAATATAATTAAAATGTTTTATTTCATCCATACAAATTAATAAAATTAAAATGTCTATTTGTAATGTCTAAATTACAGTTTTTTTACTAAATGCATATAAAAGTAAATACGGTACTTATAACTAAAATACAATTTTTAAAATTTTTCAAACCGGCGATAAATTGTGGTTTTGGATGGGGCTTCATCACCAAATGCAGAAATCGTCCGGTCAACAAACTGTTTTTGTGTTAAACCACTTCGAAAGTCATAATAAATCATCGCTCTTGAATTTTCTCGAGTCAATTCCATTTTCTCAACGACTAAACAAGTTTGACAAAACCTTGTGACAAGACCGATAATCTTTTTTTAAATAAATAAATGGTATACAATTTTTAAAACCAAGGGGTTTTCAATTAAAAAGATTTTAATATGACAGGAACAGTGGAAATATTCCATTCCCGATACTTTTAGTGCAGCCCTCGTATAAAATAAAACATTATTTATATATAATGTGTTATTTTAAAACTAAATGTAGAGAATAACACACACTTAAATAAGTTAGATATAAGCTATACATATATATATGTATAGCTTAATATGCGCATTGTAAGCATCATATAGCCACCACTACACGGTTATTAATAATGGGTAAAGGGTAATGGAAATATACTCATTTGAAAATTTCAGTTGGGGATACATCTCACGCGCATTTGATGGTAACAGTATTACCAGTATAAGGGTATCAACTCACACACATAAAGCAGTACCTAGTCTAATTACAAATATCTTCATCATTAGCCCGAAAAAGACCACATATGCCTCCCTTTGTAGGGATTGACTTTATCGTCACGCTTGATAGTCGGATTGAAAATCGCAATAACAGACGTTTCGCACGTTTGACCCTGCTGACCTTCGCCCTTCTGAGCAGGTATGTTACGTCAACGTAAACGAGATATTTAAATATCTCGTTTACAGAGACATTTAAAATATGTACATGAAGCGATACGATTTTGGGGCATTTCTCATAATCGTCTCTTTCAATTACAACTCAAATATAAAACAAGAAGTTATCCAAATTTATTTAATCGTGCTAAGAGATGCATTAAATGTGAGAGGTGTATGTACCTATATACAATATGATAACGGCTAGGTGAAATGATATTTAAACCCTCAACTAATATTGATAAACGAATTGCATACTGTAATAACTCCTTTATATAGGTATTAGATACTAAACTGTTTTCTTATTTGTTATTTATACTACTACACCTGACTACACCTATCAAAATATATAATTATTTTACTTACTACGCATTTAAGATTGTATTGTGACCCCAAAGATACCTATCCCAAGGACACCTACTACAGATGTGTAAGCAAAGATCATTAGCTTTATCATCTTTCTACTGGAGCCACTGCTGATCTAGATATTTTTGAAACACTAACTCCTTTAGGCCTAGGTAAAGTGAGAAATGGCACACTGTCTACCTATTGATAAGTGAATACTGTGACCCTTAACCTTCGATCAAGATTCAACCGTCTCGTTTTCGCCTTTCATAAAATACTCAAACCGGCGACTGGCAACAGCGACAATAGTTCTAAACATCTGGTACTGCGATCGGAGGTGTATTTTATTCCATACAAGGAAAGAAATTTTGTTCTCAAGAAGCTTTCTTTTTATAAATTAAGAGACAAAAAAGCACAGAGTCCACCACCCCATTTATCGCCCCTTTATATACATTATTTGTCATCCCTGAGGGCTAAGATAGAATGTCTCGTTTTCAGTAAAAAAGGTCTCCGGTTCTCTACATTCACTATACAAAACACAGTAGCCGTACCATTTTTTCTTTTGTAGAATCCAGAATCCTAGAGTTCCATCGCAAATCGCAGTCATGAATAATTTTCCCTCAAAATAGCAGAAATGTACAGATAATGGGGGTAAATTGAAGAGAAACCATGACGCTAATTTGTTGGTTGTTTGGTAAGGATCGGCTTTTTTGAGGTCATGATTAACTCAAATACTAAAACATGTAAAAATAAATTGAAGATCAAACAATAGAATGTCATGAAATGTTTGAATTTAGAATTTAATTGTCTATTAAACGCATAATATCATAGCAAGGATTTGAAATACAAAAGGTTTTTAAATAATATTTAGAGTTTACATGGGAAGGGGACCAAAAAAAGCAGGTAAGAAATGTCATATTCTCTAATTGCTATATCGGGTAGCAAATTCATCATTGTTTAATAGTACAGTAACATATTCCCAATATTATTCTCCACAATAAAACCTTAAAAGAAATGACGAAACCTTAACGAATGCCCGCTTTGACCGGAGGGTGACCTGAAGTGGGCAAAATGGTCACACAGGGGGCATTGCGAATTTGCGAGCACACTATATTTTCGTCAAATAAACATGGACATTTAACCGTTTCGCCAAAGAATCTAAGACATTGCAAATATCCTGATTCAATTTTTGTCAGTACAGGTTCTACGAGTCTCTAGGGAGGCTCTATCTAAAAGCAGAGAATTCATTCTTTTCCGGTTTAAAAATCATAAATTTTAGAAACGATCCTGCAGCATTACAACAACTTAACACTGTTATTTTCTATCATAACTTTCTTGTTAACTTAAATGACATTGAAAGTCATAAAAAATCATTGTAGGAAAATATTCTAGCGTTAAATTCATGCTGACGTGACACAGACAATTTTCAATTTGCCGCCAAATCGTAAACAAATGACAAATTAATAAAATAGATAGACACAATAATGTTGGTAAAGAGTTCCATTTTCAAAATTTGAACTTATTTTTTTATGATATCGTTTAAAAGTGGCCAGTTCTAAAAACTTTCAGTGTCGCCCTCGTACGCAACTGGTTTCCATGCGGTCGTGGTCTTTCCCAGATTGAGCGAACCCATTGCTCGATCGGGAAAAGACCACGTTACTGCAGCCACAATACGCTTCGGCGTAGCTAAGCTACAAACCAACTGTGACAGAGTTTTTCACCAATTGTCATCTTCATCTACATCCAATGAACATTGGTTGAATAACAAAGTCTGGCTGTCGAAAAATTTCAAAGAGAGAAGTGATGGGGGCAGATTACCAGTGCGAGGCTTTGTTAGATCCCAGCGTTGGTTTCTTTGGGTGCCAGCCAGCCAACGTGGTAAATATATTATAAGCAAATCTAAAAAAAAAAATAGCAAGTTAACATAACATTGAAAATGTTCTTCACACAACAGTAGATTTAAAAAAGAAACTAATGATGATGGTGGTGATAGCTTACTATGCTTATGTAAAAATATGAACCGGTGCTCACCAATGACTAAAATTTTTTTTTTTCATAAAAAGTTACTACGTAATTGTCCTATATTGTAGATGTATTTTACTAAACATACTTTTGGCGTATCGGAATCAAGCCCACAATCCGTTCAGCCGTGGCCAAACGATTAAGCCACTACGTCTGAGTAGAGCCGTCAACTAATTACAGACTTAAAAACATAGAAGCCGACTGCAAAGATCTATTTAAAATTAAAAATTTTGTACAACCCCGACTTCAATATAAATTATTAAGAATAACTCAAAACCCATTAGTCAGACCTTGATCAAATTTATATGGGACAACATGTGAAGCACCAGCTTTCAAATAAAAAAAGAATTATCCAAATCGGTTCACCCTGTAAAAAGCTATAAGGTAACACACACAAAAAAAACATACAGTCGAATTGAGTACCGTCTCCTTTTTGAAGTCGGTATATTTTCATATGACAAGTTCGCTAGAATGCGCTTGAAGCTAGGACTTACATATTACTATATACGGGCGTTGTATGGGGTACTGATATTATTAATGTAAAGTAGAATCTTACAAAATTTTGAAATCGAAAAGCGAAATCCAACTGCGAGTGAGTTCAGCGGGCAATAGCAGTCTCACGGAGGTCTGCATTTCCCTTGAATTTTTATAGTGAACGCTTTATGTAATGGGCCAGACTGAGCCTTAGTCCAGTACTACGTACCTTTGGCGACAGCATCATTATCATTATCGTTATTACAGCCCTTCACAAGTTCACTGCTGAACATAGGCCCTCTCCCCCAAGGAATACCACAAATCACGCTCCCGAGCCTCCTGCATCCATTGATTTCCTGCATGTCTTACCAGGTCGTCACTCCATCTAGTGGGGGTACGCCCTACACTTCGCCTGCCGGTACGAGGCTGCCACTCGAGAAACTTGCTTCCCCATCGGTGGTCAGTTCTTCGAGCTATATGGCCGGCCCATTGCCACTTCAGCTTATTAATCCTTTGGACTATACCGATTACTCTGGTTCTACTGCGGATATTCTCGTTTTTAAGTATATCACGCAGAGAAACGCCAAGCATAAAGCCAATAGGGAAGGACCACGTCTCAGATCCATAGCTCATTATTGACAACACGCACTGATTGTACAAGCTAGCTTTGAGGTTTTGAGGTATGCCTGACGAAAAGATGTGTCGTAATTTCCTGAACGCTTCCCAGCCGAGTTGAATCTGTCGATTGGCCTCTCGGTCAAAGTTGGACTTACCTAGTCGGAATATTTGTCCCAGGTAAACATATTCGTCAACAATTTCGAGCTTAGTGCTCCCAACAACTACCGTTAAGAATCTCCAATGAAGGTTCGGTTGCCACCTACGACTTTGGCGACATATTAAGGAATATTTATTTTGTTATTCTGAACACTTAAAATTCGCAACATTGTAACATACAAACGGTCAGAACTGATGCCGATCTATATTTTACGATGTTAGTGCTGTTAACCAATTGGCTTTTACAGCTTCATCGGACTTATCCAAGATGAATTTGCCTTATTCGCCAAGCTTGGCAAGCGAATTGCGACCGTAGTATTAAATGTCTCGCACCCTTAAAGTTGCTCCTTTTACATCTGGCATAATATACGAGATGGTGTTCCGCCATCTATCGGAGGCAATGAGGCCTGCTCTTTCCCATGGTAGCCTACTACCATACAAGATGGTGCACGATAAATTCTGTTATAAACTCTGTCATTGCCGAAATAGTGATTTTAATATATTAGCTTTTCATAAAAGATATAGTTTAAATATCTGTGTAAATATTGCAGAAGATACCCGAAACGGTTGCCGACACCCCGCAAGCAAATATTCCAAATGGAAATGGACTGCTTTACAAAAAAAGTATTACGTCACCTGTGGACCCGAGTTTACCCAGTAAGAAATCCAGTGACATGAGTATACAAAGCGAAAAATCAACAAGTAGTTTCGGTAAAGATTCTGATAGCGATGGGATATGTGACAGGAAGAGCAGTGCAGGTCGCAAAACAATTTCGGATCTCATGCAGAGTAACCCGGAAAAGCGAGGACGCCGCAAACGTGGAGTTATCGCGCCACTAGCACCCGTAGATAACGCGCGAAACAGCATAGACTTGCAATATGAAAAACATGAGAAAGATGATAAGTAAGTAGCTATTTGAAATAAATGACTTATTGTTTGTGGAATATAAACACCAGAAACAAATTGCTACGTCGTAGTTTGTGGTTTAGAAAATGGATATGAAAAAGTTGGTGTTACGGCGAATTTAGGTTGTGATGTAATTTTTTTATGTCGTATCCATTTAGGTACGTTCAAATAAACAGATATATTGATCGTTACTAAATACCACCTCTACCTCAACGTTTGGTTGAAAAAGCACTCCTATTTCTGGATTATTTAATGATTTAAAATTTAAACATAAAAGCTTAAAACAGCAGCTCATACAATCAACCAACAAAACAACTATAATGTGTGCAAAAATTAGAAATTGTATTGCACGTGCTCAATAATGGGATGCATGGGCTCCAGTTTTACTAAATACTACTTTTCATACAAGCGACAAACGAGCACCCGGTCCATCTGATGATCAGTGGATGCCATGGCCCATAGACTCCTGTTTTCATCTGTCTGTATTTTGAAAATTAAAATGCATGGTTATTTTGATTTGTAACACCAGACAAATTAAATCTTATCACATCGCTGCCAGTTAAAATGGGCACCATAAAAAACGCAGTAGCAACGAACGTGGTCCTGTCCCGGTTTGGCCGAACTATTTGTGACGCAGCTATAACACAGCATGGGTATGTCACATGTAAATGGTATAAGTTCAATACTCTCACTTTTTAGGAAGGATTTGCCTAAATCGTGACGTCTCATGGTGCATTGATGATCGCAGTCGCAGTACCAGGCGTCTCGCTATTGGAAGTCATAAGACTTTTCTTGCATTTCCCATAGCAGCTTGTTACGACACGCTCGGTACTAAATGGAATGATGAAATCTCTTACTCCGTCACCTCATGGCTGCGGTACTGGATAATTAATTGTAAAAGATTTTACATACATTACTAACAACATATTATATTAAATTAAATGTAAAAGGTTTAACCGAATTACTACGAAACTTATTTTATTTTAAACTTTAAACGATTTGTTTATTTTAGATCATTGACACAAATAAAATCTGCTATTTTGGCGAATGATTTTTTGAAGAACTTAATGGACGAAGAAAGGCTTACAGCTGTCTTGGAGGCAATGAGCCCGCAACAGTTTCCAGCAGGCAGCCTCATGATTCGTGAAGGAGAAAGTGGGAGCCACTTGTACGTCTCCGCCCAAGGCCAGTTTGAGGTTCTCAAAGGTGGACAAGTTGTGAAAAATTTCGGCCCAGGAGAGGCTTTCGGAGAACTCGCCATTTTGTACAAAGCAAAACGTTTCGCATCAATTAGGTGTAAGTATCAGTTTTTAGATGGAGTGACGATCTGGTAAGACGATAAGACATGCAGGTGGCTCAGGACCGTGCTTTGTGACATAACAGGAAGTGAAGAGAAGATGAATGCAGATGACTTCTTGGGGGAGGCCTATGTTCAGCAGTGGACTTGTGAAGGGCTGTAATGATAATGATGATGATCAGTTTTCAATGTAGTTGATCTAATAAAATAGTAGAGTACACAAGTTCTACGCTATACGATAAATACCTCGCATGTAGTTCAAAGTGAACAGATGATTTTTTTTTCATTATTACAGTGCCGAAAAAGGTAAATAAGTCAAATCAAAATAATTGCTTGTGTTTTTTATTTTCCCTTATTTAAATCTATATATAACAACCGTATTTCATATCTAAAAGTGAAAGCACATTCATAAATAATTACCTAGATATCTATATAACTAGCCGTGGTATTTCAGGGTAAGCATTTGCCTTAAATTTTTTACACGAACGAATCAAGTTCGATCCCTGTCGGCGCACTTTGTAAGAATATTGCATGTCTGAGAAATTTAAACATGAAATAAATTTTATATTATAAAATATGACGATAATAAGTTGATTGTTGTAGGATGGCTATGGACCACATCAACCATTTACCAGCAGATGGACTGTGCTCTTTTGTCATCTTTATTACTTGTGAAAATAACTTAAATTAAAAAAATTCAAATCCCCCGAAAAGAAAAGAGCTGATAATCTTAGAACGGCTGAACAGACTTTCTTGAAATATGGCTAAGAACACTCGATTAAGACACATTTCAAACAAAAAAAAACACTTAATCAAAATCGGTTCATCCGTTTAGGAAGTATCATGCCACAGACAGACACATATACACAATCTACAAACTTACTTTTAACAGTGGTAGAGCCACGCGGCAGCTTTTGCTGTCGCACGGATGGGCCGGCTCGATCCGGGGTGGTACCACGAACTCACAGAATACCAGCGTGAAGTAGAGGTTTACCTCTGCGTTTCGCTTGGTGAGTGCAGGTGGCCGGAGGCCCTTTTTATTGGAAATGAGGCATTCCATCTTAGTCCTCAAGGGTGACAACGCATCTGCATTTTGATTCGCAAACGAGGATAGATGTAGATGTCTATGGGCCGCAGCCACCACTTACCATCAGGTGGATTGTGTGCCCGTTTGTCACCCTTATCTTATAAAAAGAAAAAAAAAACTTAGAACACCCCTCTGTTTTTTAACAGTGTAACATGTACGCTTATACTGAATTGTGTATTATTTTTTTATACAATAATGTATAAATATAATTGTCAAATATATTTTGATGCAATAATTTTAGGTATAACTGATGCAAAGGTATGGACGTTAGAGCGACGTGTTTTCCAAAAAATTATGGTTAGAAGCGGCCGTCAAGAGCATGAAGACAATATCCGCTTCCTAGCTTCCGTGCCTTTACTGCGCGAAATTCATCCCATAGAACTCTCCAAAATTTCTGACTTCCTGAAAAGGGTATGTAGAGTTTAAATTTATTTAATTATTTTTACAGAAAGGGTAATAATCGACCACATATTCCACCTGATGGTAAGTGGATGTGGCCCATTGACTGCTCTACATTTCTATCAACGACGGTGAATCAAAATGCAGATACCATGTTACCAATAAGAACTAAGATGAAATGTCTCGTTATCAGTAAAAAGGATTTCTCGTCATCCACCATACGAAACACAATAAGTTGTGCTGCTATTTCACGCTGGTACTGTGCGAGCGTGCTCCTTCCCCGGTCGAGACGACCCATTCATGCTACAGTCATAATACGCTGTAGCGTGACTTCACCACGCACTAAATTCTTTCTTATAAGAATTTAACTTTTTCTAAAAGTATTTAATTTTCAATCGCTGTACATAACATGCTGTAAGCCTATTTACTGCTCTCAGCTAAAAAAACGAATAATAATTTTTCGAGGTTCATAAATGCATTCAGCTAATATATTTAATAACTTATGGAGGACTTTTAACTATCGTCAATATTTTGTACTTTTGAAATTTTAATTAAGTATAATGAATTTTGGAGAAATAAATAGCAGTTGTGTATCGCTAGCAACGCATAGACGGGAATTTGCATTTGGAAAAATCCAAAATTAGGGGCTTTTTAGGTGCTAATTAGGTGCTTAAAAATTAGGTGCTCTAAAATTTTCACCGCAACGAACTATTGAAATTTGCGTTGCTAGCAAAACGTCTCGCTAGCAACGCAATGAAGTTATTAAATATACGATAAATATTAATAGCAAGGAATTAAGTGCTAATTAGGTGCTGCAAGTATAAGCAATAACAAGGCGCCCCTAATAAAAATTAATTCGTTATTCAGAACATAGCAGATGCAAAATTCGGATTTCCTGAAAATCAAAATAGAATCAAAATTGCTTTCAGAAAAATTCCAAATTAGGGGCTTTTTAGGTGCTAATTATGTGCCAAGTTTGAAAATTAGGTGCTGTAAAATTTTCACCGCAACGAACTGTTGAAGTTTGCGTTGCTAGCAAAACGTCTCGCTAGCAATGCAGTGAAGTTATTAGATATACGATAAATATTAATAGCAAGGAATTAAGTTCTAATTAAGTGCTGAGCGGTTATCGAAACCCGACACAGATTAAGATATTATTGTCATTGCGTATACTTGCAGTAATAAATATCTAAACATCAAAGTAAAATTAATTTAGCCCTGCGTCAGGGATAAGCGTTAACATTCCAATTAGGCATGAACATTTTTATGTATCAGCCAAGATACATTTTTAATGTAAGGTCATCTCCAAACTAAAGCACTAAATCCTATTATAAATAATAATGGCATTGCCATGTGGTCGTAGCGTAAGAGAGTTCATCATCTCATTTCTCGTGGGTGTCGAGGACGCGACATTGGGATTTGTCAGAATGACTTTATCTCTTCTGACAGATGGCTCTTCTTTCTGAAAGTGTATGCTCTTGGCCCTGCGACCTTGATAGTTTCATCGAAGCCGCAGCGCCGACTGTAGTCCCGATACACCCCGGCCCCTGCTTTTGGAGTGAGCATTTGAGTTAGGAGAGGGGAGGGGGGGCTCGATGTGATTCAAGGACGTCTCAGAAGGAGGGGAATCACTATAGGAATGATGGAACTGATATATGGCGATATAACCATCTCGTTAAATACCCAGACCAGCGAGGGGATGCAATGTTAAAGGTGCGAAACGCCTGGTAACGCTAATCTTCGTGGCAAACGTGACGATTAAACCAAATCTTCCCAACAACGAGGAGGACCATATCCAGCAGTGGACATTTCCGGCTGATGATGTAAAGCAAAAGTAAAGTTACAGCCTATATACGTCCCACTGTTGGACACAGGCCTTCTCTCATTTCTGGGAGGTTTTTAGGACAATGGTCCATTGCGCTGCCCTAAGTGCTATTGGCATTTCATTTACATCTTCGAAATATTTTTTTTCTCAGTAATGCAGATATCCACACGATGTTTTACTTCAACGCTGATCACGTGGTTAATCAGCACTTAAAATTGCAATTAACAATTTCATTGATACCGACGTGGATAGCGCTTCGTACCTGAGCTACAACGTTGGTCACATACACACAGATATGTATGTTACTTCGCTATAATATAAAAATATTATTTACCACAAATTAAATGGAACTAAATTTTATACATGCACATAGGAGTTCTTTTCGACGGGCACGGCTGTGGTACGTCAGGGTGACCGCGGTGACAAGTTCTATATTATCCGGGGTGGTACAGTCGCTGTGACAAAGCGCGATGGTGACGGTGGCGAGCGGCGCGTGGGCACTCTTCGTCGTGGTGACTACTTCGGCGAACAGGCTTTGCTGCACGAAGACCGACGCCTTGCAACCGTTACCGCGTTGCCACCGGGCGTTGAGTGCCTCACACTAGAACGAGGGTATACAGATAAAATAATCCACGCAGATATGCTTTAGTTTTTATAAAACATCATTATTATTACATCACTTCAAAAGACCACTGCTGAACATAGGCCTCCCCCAAGAAGTCACCTGCATTCATCTTCTCTTCACTTCCTGCATTCTTAATAGGCTGCCACTCCATCTAGTGAGAGGCCGCCCTGCACTCCTTTTACCATTACGAGGCTGCCGCTGTTCTTGCCTTTTATTTCTCTTTATGAAATGTAAAAATGGAAAATTAAGGTTTCAACCTTACAACTGTACGTCTCATTAAGAAGCGCAGTGTACAACACAACAAATTTATTGATGCCGGTCCGGGACGAATCAAGTATTAGGAGGAATCGGAGCCTGCCTCGTTAGTCTAATCATCGGCAGCTGTCCATAAGGTCCTGGGTTCGAATCCCAAGTCGGACCAAAACCGGTAATTGATTTTTTGTTAAGCAAGTCTTAATAGCAGCCTGGAGTCAGGAAGGTGATGTTTAAGCCCTGTGCCTGGGAAAGCAGGTAAAGTCGTTTATCAAGTGCCTGATCTCCCTTCGGTTGTGACCGATGTCTGCCCCATCGGACTATGAGCGGGAGGGAATAGAGAGTGCAGCTGGGCTTGCGAACACACTCATGTACTGCAATCCTGCTCTTCGCAGATGGCTAGGCGTCACTGTTTGATTTCTTCTTAATTATATCATGTAACCATAGTGATAATGTTTTCATGTTTATTTTTTAAGAAACGGCTGTTGATTTGACAGCATGTTGGTAACTGATGTTCTCACACTGGCAATGCTGCACCTCCGAATTGATCTATGAAATTTGATAACTATTTTCTTTTACGGATCTTTCATTACACGTAGTGTAATAGTGTAGCTGTAGTGTACTCGTAGTTCGTCAATTAGCAGTGTGGTGGTTTAGCACTTGGAGAAATATAATAAGAACTGTAATAAATAATAATAATAATAATAACTAAATAACCATTAGGAGAGAGTTTTTCCCGAATAGATATTGTAATTAAATTATAGTTATATAATTATAACTTATTTTTCTAGAAAAAAATTTACATTTAAACAACAATAGTCCTGCGGAAAGTTAATAATGTAAATAAATCAAAATGAAATTTAAGGAAGACACGAGCCTGCGTCTATAACTTCGTTCGTAACTTTAGTGGTATTAATTCCCGATAAATCTCAGACCAACAAAGTTTTTGTTGATCTAAAACATACAATATAACATTCGTGCTATAGCTGGTTGTCACTACAAAACTACAAATAGCAAAAAATAAATAATAATAATACATTAACTCATTCATAATTCATATTTTGTAAACTTATTTTCGAACTCTGGTTATGTGTAATTACATAGATTGAAAAGACATTATATGTTATAAATACAATATTAACTTCTATCATTAACAGGCCTTTTACTGATCTCCTTGGTAACTTAGAAGAATTAAAAAATATTCGTCATGCCGTGCCACGTGCTTCTCAACAAAAGAAAGCATCCGAAGTCAAAAGTGGTAAAGTCTTTCAGGTTGATTTACTCTCCTTTACTATTATATTAATGCGAATTGTTTTGAATAATCTAATTATGCTGTCTTCATTAATTCATTCATTCATTACAGCCCTTCACAAGTCCACTGCCAAATATAGGCCTCCCTCAAGGAATGCCACAAAGCAAGTTCCAGGCCACCTGCATAACCACCATTATTCCGTATATAAACATCTAAAAATTTTTTTTGGCGTAGTTAAGCTACGAATTTACCTTGGATACGGTATCAGCCTTTTCTTTTTCCACTGCTGGACATAGACTAAGAATACGCTGATTTTAGTTGCTTCTTCTTCTTGAAGTGGTAGAGCCACGCTGCAGCTATATTATGGTTGTAGCACGAACGGGTCGGCTCGACCGGGGAAGGACCAGGCTCTCACATAATACCATCGTAAAATAACAGCATAATGCTGCTGTGTTTCGTATGATGAGCTTAGAGAGGCGGAGACCCTTTTTACTGGAAACGAGTCATTCCATATTAGTTCTCAGGGGTGACAACGTATCTGAAATTTGATCTTAATAGAAGATACATCTGCATTTGTAGATGTCTATGAGCCACAGCATCCACTTACAGGTGGACTGAGTGCTCGTTTGTCACCCTTATTCTATAAAAAAAGTTACTAATAATACTTATTACACTGTGCATGCATCATGGTAAGCGCAGCGTCGATAAGCAAGTAATAATATATAAGTCATTGATACCCTCGCGCTAGTAATGCTGCTTTAGGAAACAGAATTATGGGTAATTATTTGGGTTTTGCAATAGACATTTATTTCGGCCTTGTTCAATCGTTAGAACACTGTTTGCCAAATTATGTTCCAAAGTAAACGGCAGACTCGGTAAGGCGTCCCTTAGACGAAAGTTTATAGACCAAATTGGCGATATATTGAAGATGGGCTAGATTAATAGAACCCTTAACCCACGGGCATCTATATGCGTAGGTATATGGATGTAAAGGAGGAGAGGTGTCTCAGAATCGTGGCAAGTGGTAGTCGAGTGGTTGTCTCTGCCTACCCCTCTGAGCGACAGGTGTGAGTGTGTTTATGTAAAATTTAAGAATAACAATTTCGCATAACATTTATTAATTACACCGCCATCATTCATGTTCTGTATGCAATACTCCGTACAAAGTGGCTGACACGGCAGCTAACGTTTTAACTACAATATTTCTAATATTTCCTTATTTAGCGATATTGTTACATTCCCTTATAATATCTATTATTTGTATACCTAGTTAAGTAGCCTATTTTATTTTCAGAGTACGAATTCGTGGAACTTAAGGATTTGGAAATAATAGGCACCATGGGTGTGGGAGGGTTTGGGCGAGTCGAATTAGTGCAATATAAGCCGCAGTCTTCACTAACGTTTGCGTTAAAGTGTCTCAAGAAAGTGGATATGGTGCAACAACAGCAACAGGAGCACGCGTACAACGAGAAAAATATCATGATGACATGCAACAGTCCGTTCATTTGCAGGTTAGTTGTAGGTACAATATCGTATTATACACTTGCGATTTAGTCTCCGGTGCGGTGGGAAAAAATGCAAAGCAGCGGTTAAAGAGTTTTTGGCATCATGAACCAAAACATTATGTTCTAATGGCATGTATAATCTAGTTGACATGTGGTAGAAGGTAATAGAAAATCAGGTAATTGACTAAAATGTAAATATAATGATTTAATAAATATTTTACGTGAATACCACAGAGTTAATAAATTAAACAAAGAAATAAATTGAATTTAATAATAAGGGAATTAGAAATAGTAAAATAAAAGCCAATAAATTCCGTAAAATTAGATTTATTTAAAGTTAAAGCATATATATATGTACGATCCACTGCTGGGAACAGGCCTCCTCTCACTTCTATACAGTAATACATTAGGCCTATGCTTCTATAGGCTGTTAGGGCAATATAATATCCACCGCGCTGCCCGAATGCGTGTTAGCAAACTTCACACGTCTTCGAAATATATATTTTTTTACTTATTTCTCAGACATACAGATTTTCTCACGATGTTTTCCTTCACCACAGAGCACGTTGTAAATCAGCACATAAAATTGCATTTAATAATTTCATTGGTAAAAAATTTCATACTGTGAAATTTACAGCGAACGCTAAGCAGGGGCTTCCACGAGCTACCACGGCTCTAGATTTATTTAATAAAATATAAATAGTTATCGAGACTTTTAATTATAAAAAACCGCCAAATACATTCCTTTACTGGGAAAGGCTCTTAAACACACGTTTTAAATAGTTTCTACTTTTTCTTCTTTAACCGCCTTTTTAAGTCCACAGCTAGTCTTAGGCCTTTCCAAAAATGTGCCTGCTATCAAGCATGAATTACTTAAGAAATTTCGGGATAATGTTCCCATCACCACTGTGTGGATTTTAAATTTATCGCTTACTGCCTTATAAGGCAGTTTTTATTATTCTTTTGTTATTAAATAAAGAAAACAAATTAGAAAAATTGTATAAACAGAAATATTCGACAGTTAAAGTTTTAAATAACAGTATTATAACAGATACATCTATACATACAATAAAAATGTAAATAGCAGATGTCTGTACATTTTATATTTTTGTAATAAAAGTGATTGAGAGGTACTAAAAATAAGTAATTAAATACGTTTCTACCATTTTTAGATTTTTCTGTCTGTCTGTCTGTCTGTTTGTTTGTTAACGTATCACGTATAAAGTACTAATTTATATCATAAGAATAGTTAAGGAAATTATTAAGTGTATATTCAGGTTACATTTAGTCTTTATTTCATTAAAATTGGTTAATTCCATCAAAAGTTATGACAAATATTCTGAAGTATGGGTACTAAGTATAGGTACGAATTTGTTCAATAGTGGCGTTGGATGAGTCATCAAGTACATTTTAAAATTAATATCATATTATAAATCATAATTAAATGATGTAAAATAATGTTCTATAATGATATAATTATACCTAAAACGCAGTAAACAAAAGTATTACATACAGAACGTAATAAATATATACAAAATATATTAACCTTATTATCTAAACTAAATTAAAGTACAATAATTAACCAATTTCATCGATAGATGGTGGTGTGGCACAAATGTGATACAAAAAGACAGGTTAAAATTTTTTCCTGTAAATGAGTTTCATATTTGCTTCTAACCTTTATATTAACGACACGCTGCCCTACTGCGTGTTGACAATCTCATTTATTTTTTATTTTTTTACCGCCGGGTACTCTATGTGGTAAATCAAATTTTAAGAGCTATTAACAATTTCGTTTTTCGGCGAGGATCATACTTTCTTTATTGCTTACTATGCAGGCACTGATTTATAAGTTCTTTTATGTTTTTTATTGTATCAATCGTGTCAATTAATCTCTTATTTTTAGAATTGATGTTAACAGCGCCATCTCTCTTTAAATCTATACATATAATAAAAATGGTAATAACATGTGTCTGTTTCTGAATATTGTATAGTATATTAATTTGTGACTAAAATCATTATGGGGACTGTAAATCATTAAATAAGTACATTTTTATTATTCATATTATTCAATTGTACTATCTGACGGTCTGTCTGTTTGTTTATGGACGCATGACGTTTTGAGTAAACATCTTTTTTTTTTTTTCAATGAAATCCTTAAGAAAATCATAAAGCGTATTATTAAGTTCATTTAATTTTTGTTTTATTAAAATTGGTTAATTCTATCGAAAGTAATGATTATTATTTTGAAATGTAGGTTCGAATTTGTTTAATGGCGCCACAAAATCTCAGAAATAGTAATAAAAAGATACGTGTGTAAAAAAAAACGTTCTATTATAATATATTTATACTTAAAACACAGTAAAAAAAAATATGTTTTCCTTAAATTAAAAAAGGATGTTTTCTCACAAAGAACGTAATAGATGGCGTTGTACAAATTACAACCTTTTCTGAATTGCGGTGTTAAGATTTTTCGCAGGTGAATCGTATTGAGACTCACTGAAATTATTTATGTCCATGAGTATGACGAAGTTGTAAGTCTGTAAGGTATATATACAGTAATCTATGCCTGCCTGTAAGAGCCGTGTAGGCTAACATCACATCACAAATCACAAAAATCATCAGAAACAAAAACCAGAAAAAATTAAAAAAGAGATATTGAAATATTCAATTATTCAACAAAACTCGACTAAAAGTAACAAAATTGCAATAAATGTCGTGATAGTGATATTGTTTTATACCCAGAATCCCTCTAATACCAAATAACTTTCCTTTCAGTTTTAAGTAAAGTAAAATAAAGTTGCAGCCTATTTACGTCCCACTGCTGGGCACAGGCCTCCTCTCATTTCTGAGAGGGTTTTAGGGCAAGGAAATGTCCACCGCGCTGCCCCAATACGTGTTGGCGAACTTCACATGTCATCGAAATATTTTTTTTTATTTCTCAGACATGCAGGTTTCCTCCCGATGTTTTCCTTCACTGCCGAGTACGTGGTAAATCAGCACTTAAAATTGCAATTAACAATTTCATTGGTGCCGGCGGGGATCGAACCCAGGTTGCTCGAGTACTGTGAAGCTTACAGGGAGCGCTAACCATCTGAGCTATCACGGCTCAGGCTTCAGTTTTAAGATAGGGATAATAACATCGATGATGACATCGATGTTGGCATCGATAGCTCAACATCGATGTTCGATGTTTAGGCTACTCAAAACATCAATGTTGACCATTATCGATGGTTTTTGTATATGTGTAGATACTTACACATTGTTTCAAAATTATGTGGGTATACACAGCAAGGGAAAAGTAACAATTAACTTGAATATCAATTTACGTAAAATAGTTATTATGCGACAACCGACAACGACACTACAAAATAAAGCGAAAGCAGTGACCATTGTGACATTACAGGAGACACTTGACAATTAAGTTTGACTCACCATACTGACATTTTTTTAGGTTAACGATGCGTTCATAAATTCTGAATTATTCAAAATTTTTAATCTTCAGAGCAGATGCAAGATTTAGTTGATATTAATTTCGCGAGTTCGCATTGTTTGCAAGTTCCCAATTATCGATTATGGGTTCATTGACGTCGATGTTTCGATGTTAGACATATGTCAACATCGATGTTAAAACATCGAAGTTTTAATTTTTAACATCGATTATCATCTAACATCCCTATTTTAAGTGTGTTTCCCACTCAGCGTGTGTTATGCGACGATCGTAAATAAAGCGCAAGGTCAAACTTTACGCGTTGCAGGAGTGGACCTCAGTACTAATTGTTTTGCACATGGCCAACTCTATGTTGCTTTTTCCCGCGTTAGTAGTTCCCGTAACCTTTTTCTGTACGCCCCGGCTAAGTCTACTTCTATCGTCATTTACACAGAAGCTCTATCATAAACGACTTAGAACTTTGAGGATATCGATTTATTTCGTTACCTCTTATTCATACAGTAATGACTAATGATATAAATCGTTTAATATTCTCTTACCCTAAAAGTCAAATTCTTAAAGTAAAACCTATATTTGCGAGCTACGCCGCGGGCACAGCTAGTAAATAAATATAGTTGTTTACCATTCATAACGTGTATAACTCTGCATGATCAAAATTTAAGATAATATGGAAACATTTAAAAGGTTATTCTCTAATTTATACGTTAAAAGCATGTAATAAAAGTACTTATCATTCTTAGTCATTTTTCATGGTACACAATTTTGCGTTTAACGTAAATCTACTTTTATAATTTCAGATTATATCGTACGTTCAAAGACAGCAAATTTGTCTATTTCTTAATGGAGCCGGTCCTGGGGGGCGACGTGTGGACGATCTTACAAAAGCAGCGATATTTTCCAGAACACATTTCACGGTTTATGGCAGCCTGTGTGGTCGAAGCTTTTCAATACCTGCACTCCAAAGACATTATATACAGGGATCTAAAACCGGAGAACTTAATGTTGGATAAAAATGGCTACATAAAATTGGTAACAACCGATTTGTGACTATGAATCTTAACATCATCATCATCATTACAACCCTTTACAAGTCCACTGCTGAACATAGGCCACCCCTAAGAAACGCCATGAAGCACGGTCCTGAGCCACCTGCACTGCATTTCTTACCAGGTCGTCACTCCATTTTGTGGAGGGTCGCCCTACACTATGCCTACCGGCAGGAGGCTGCCACTCGAGAACCTTTTTTCCCCATCGATTGGATCGGTTCTTCGAGCTATATGGCCGGCCCATTGCCACTTCAGCTTACTAATCCGTTGGGCTATGTTGGTCACTCTGGTTCTACAGCGGATATCCTCATTTCTAAGTTTATCATGCAAGGAAACCACGAGCATAGCTATCTTGATAACTCGCTGAGCGATCTTGAGCGTCCTCATACGGCCAGAAGTGAAGTACCACGTCTCAGATCCATAAGTCATCACTGGCAACACGCACTGGTTGTACAATCTCGTTTTCAGGGTTTTACGTATACCTGACGATAAGATGTGTCGTAGTTTCCCGAACGCTGCCAAGCCGAGTTAAATCCGTCGATTGACCTTTCGGTCGCAGTTGGACTTACCTAGTCGGACTATTTGTCCCAGATACTACTATACTCGTCAACAACTTCGAGCTTGGTGCTCCCAACAACTACCGGCATAGGTGTAACATGGACATTACATATGATCTTTGTTTTGTCCATGTTCATCTTAAGACCTATCCGTTGGGAGATACTTGATGTCATTGAGCATAGTGCTTAGGTCCTCCAGCGATTCTGCCATAAGGACTATATCGTCGGTAAATCGAAGGTGTGTGATGTACTCGCCATTTATATTAATACTGTATCCTTTCCAGTTCAGTAGCCTGAAAACTTCTTCCAATGCAGCGGTGAAGAGTTTCGGGAATATAACGTTACCCTGTTTTACACTTCTCTGCAGTTGGGTAGGTTTCGTAGTCTGGTTCTGTACTGGGATAGCCATCGTAGTCCTACTGTATAAACACTTCAGCAACTCGATATACAGACAGTCAACTTGACACCGCTGAAGGGACTGTAGCACCGCCCAAATTTCGACGGAAACGAAGGCTTTCTCATAGTCCACATACACAAGGCAAAGTGGCAGATTGTACTCTTCGGTCTTGTGTACAATATCCCAAAGGGTATGTATGTGGTCTATAGTACTAAAGCTTTTTCGGAACCCGGCTTGTTCGGGAGGCTGAAAGTGGTCGAGTCGACTATTCGTAATGACTCGAAAACGGCACGTAGACGCGGCTCAGAAGTGAAACCGGTCTGTAGTTCTTCAAGAAAGCGTTGTCGCCTTTCTTGAAGAACAAGACCACCGCACTTCTGCTCCACGCCTCCAGAGTAGTCCCACCATGAAGGACGGAATTAAAGAGCTTCTGAAGGACTTCAAGTACCAGTTTTCCACCCGCTTTCAGAAGCTTCGCTGTAATGTTTTTAAGGTGCGGGAGAGCCATTCTAATCTCACTTAGACTGACGTGCGGGATATCATAGGAACATAGTCGGATAAGACTTGCTCTTGGATCGTTACTCATACTTGCGTGTGGCTCCAACGATGATGTGTACAGCTGCCCTTAGAACCTCTAAATCTCACTCAAAATCTTAGGTCTCCCAGAAACCATGCTGCCACACTCGGTCTTCATGTTTGAAAGTTGACTCTTTCTAGCAGACAGATTTCTGCCAAAGACTTTTGGACCTTGATTCCGCTCGGTCACTTCTTCAATACGAGCTGTATTGAAGTTGCGTAAGTCCTGCCGCATGCATTTGGAGATCTGTCTGTTCAGTTGCCTGTATGCTTTCAAATCTGTTGAAGACTGCAGCTTTATTTCCCGTCTAACAGCCATGATAATATGAGTGGGATCGGAGCGTTTTTGTGTTCTTCTGCGGTGGATCTTGCAGAACTTAGCTCCGACCGCATGGCCAGTATCCACGAGCTTGTCTTTAATATCGTCCACTTCATTGCAGTCTTCTGGGCATTGAAAGCGGTTTTGTAACTCGAGCTGAAAGTTTTCGGGACTTTGTATTACAGCATGAGGAGGACGGAGCGTTGACTTCATTAGACGAGACCTTTGTGCCTATAACCATTCGGTGATTGCTACCAGTTTTCACCCTCGCTATCACTGAGACATAGTGAAGTCGTCATAATGAAGGCAATCTCATTTTTCGAATCTTAACATTCCCATTTATATTTCTATCAACATCTGGGAGACATTAATCATTAAATTGTTTCACTTTTTGAAATCGTCCTAAATGATTTTCAAACACAGCGGTAATTTTTAAATAGTCAGAACAAGTCTATACCCAGTGCCAGGGGCAACTTATTTATTCAATAGGTACTATATCTTCTTCTTCCTTTCCTTGTCCCTTTATTTGGGGTCGGCTGTCCTCTTTTTTATACGCCAAGATTTTCTATCTTGGGTTGTCTGTGTTTCAAGCTGTGCGTGTTCGAGATCCTTGGATACGGTTGTCCACCACGTGGCTAACGGGCTTCCTCTGCCTTTATTTTTCTCTGGAATTGCCAAGGCCTTCTTCACTGGGTGTTCTTCCTTCCGCCTCATTACATGTCCATACCTTCGTATACGACTCTTGAACATCTTGTCTACAATGGTCGTAACTTTAAAGGAGCCTCTGATTTACTCATTGCGCACTTTATCAAGTCTCGTTACGTCTGCTGACATCTGGCTGCATCGTAGCATTTTCATTTCATTTGTTTGTTTCATCTTTTTTTCGTGGATATTCTTGGCCGCCCAGCGTTCGGCACCATATAACATGTCAATTCTTACGACCGTTTTGTAAATCTTGCCTAATCAATATTATATAAACAATAATAAAAACTTTTTTATTGGTCTGAGTCACTCTATTAGAAAGATCTTCTTTTCTGCATTTTATTTCTCATTTTTCTTTCCAATATCTGCCGCCAAAAGCAGTGCGCCTACTGCTGTATTCCAGTTTAAAGAGTGAGAGTCTGTGAGGGATATCATCTTAGTCCTCAGGGTGACAGAACATCTGTGGCCTGTTTTGACTGGACTTTTCTAGAATAGACAGATAGTTAATTAAACTATATAATGCCGCTAGCTAAAAAGGCTTGTACCTTAGTATAACAAATAGAGAGCAAAAGTAACTACAAAGGCTTTTATTGTAAAATTCTCGTGCCAAGGATGTTTAAATAAATTTAATATTCAGAAACTCGTTTCTCTTTCATGTTAACAACAGCAGCAGAGTATATTTATTTGAAATTACTACATTTATTATATACTTTTAACATATTTGTAGGTTGATTTTGGATTTGCCAAAAAGCTGGCGCCAAATAGTAAGACGTGGACCTTTGCTGGCACTCCAGAATACGTTGCACCGGAAATCGTATTGAACAAGGTAAGATTAATCATGACATTGTTTAAAGTAGCCTTCAGATCACTTAATACACCATGTTAGATTACTTCAAAACAGTTGATAAATACTAATTGAGTAAAAAATCTTACTTAAGTTAAAAGAACTTATTATGGAATAAGTAGAACTTTTGTACAAACTCAGTATAAGACTGTTTCTGTATCTGGTTGTGTGTACATACTTAAATAAAAATAAATAAAAACAATTAAGTACATAATGTTCTTTTACCAATAATTGGGTAAACATAGTATGCAGAGCGTATTTTGATAATTTTATTACGAGTATGTAACACTGGCCCTGCAGAGGAAAGTGTTAACATGAATTTACGTTCACTTTCATTTTAAGAAGACATAGTGTGTGTGTGTATTCGTCAACCATCGTGTTGCGCTGCGGTATTACGGTGGGGTGAGAGTACGACGGGGAACATCCTCTTTTACAGTAATAAATATATAATTTTCAATCGTAAGTTTCATTACGTCGTATTATTTCATTGTGGAAAAACACCAAAACAAAATCACCTACTGTTGATCAAGTTCTAGTAATATTTTACTTTCTTTTATCACACGCGTGAAGTTAGTCTGTATTTAAAACTTTCCTTTTTCATTGTGTGCACTGTTATTAGTTAAGTTGGATAGCAACATAATATGTCATTTCAATCTCTTGAAAAGCGATAGATTTCGCCACTGAGTTACCTCATGAACAGTTTTTCAAGCTATACCGTAGAAACGTAAAAAGGTAAGTAATATTGTTCATTTGAAATCAGTAGTGGAAACGACTTGACGAATTTGAAGTGCGAGATATCATTATTATTTCTTAGTCGTCATTATATCGTAAAAAGAAACAACCAGACCTGGAACAATTATTTGTAGATCATACAAATACTTTTTCCGTGCTGAATTCGAACCCGCGGCCCTTAGCGCCGCAAAATTATGCCAATTCATAATGCCAATACGACGCTCGCAAATCTTAATTAGGTTTCTCTTAATAAGGTAATTCTGACAAACGTGTAATTTTCTTTAATAAATCACCGCAGTTGGGTTATTTTACATAATAATTGACTTCTTGACTTTATCAAATAATGTTAAAGAAAAAAACTACACGATAACAGCTTATCATAGACGAATCTTAACTCAAATTAGTTTATGCTTTGTCTAGGGTCACGACCGCGCCGTAGATTGCTGGGCACTTGGTGTATTTATACACGAGCTCTTAGTGGGCAAGCCTCCATTCCGAGCAGCAGGAGGTGACCACATGAAGACATATACCCTGATATTACGCGGCATCGACGCCATCGCCTTCCATCCGCGTGTGCCCAAGTCCGCGCAGATGCTAATTCGCAAGCTTTGCCGCGCCGTGCCCGCTGAGAGACTGGGATATTTGAAAAATGGCGTTGTAGATATCAAGAATCATAAGTGAGTATACCTTTAACGTGAATGATGCCGTCTTTGCCAATTTTTGACCGCTTCCGAATATTGGGTGATAACACCGGTAGAAAAGCGAGTGAGACACTTTCTTCGCTTTTCGCGCAAACACATAAGCAACCATTTTTTTTTTTAACTAAAAGGAACATTAACAAAATGCTGTTAGCACTACTAATATTCCCATTAACAACTCCCACGAAGCTTTAAATGTTTGTACTAGAAGCAGTTCACGACAGTAGTCGACTGGCAGATTGGAACCCCTAGACTTTTCAGTATCACGGTCTGTTTCCTTAACCATTAGGCCACGTTCACACGGCGACCCTTCGATTCCATTTTTTCGTATATGGTAAATCGAATGAAAAGTATCCAGTTGAATAGTGCGCGCCATCATGGATCCACTTAATTACGTGTTCCATTACTTTTATATTGGTTTTATAAACGGAGATGCAAGGAGCGTCCTATGAGGTATTGGGTTCATCCTTTTTTAAAGACTGGTCCTCATCGAGAAAGAAGATTCGAAAAATGTATTCTAAACCTCAGAAATGACGAACGTTTGTTTTGACTGATGCAACGCACAAAGGGCAACTGCGGGCTGCGGGCACATGAGTAAAGGCGGCTACTGACGTGCCTGCCGCAGGGGCAATCTAGAGAGCACAGCGATCGGAGCAATATCAGAGCTGTCTTTACACACACGCCTGCCGTTCAGTACATAGATAATACACTAGTTCAGTATGAGAGTGTACGTCTCGCTGGACGCACGCGTTGGGAATGGCGCCAGTTTTATCGAAATATCAATGAATCAGTATATATAGCCTTGGCTCTTTTTTATATACAATAAGGGTGACAAATGAGCACAGTCCACCTGATGGTAAGTGGACACTGGGGCCTATAGACACCCACATTTATCAATAAAACAACCAATTAATTAATAATTGCAACCATAATATAGTGCTTAGAAGCTGCAGCATAGCTCTGCCACGCTATTTTTAGGCTATCAAAGACAAATATGACTAACTTTACTCGTCATAATTTAATATAACCAATTTATTCTGTGATATAACTTAACTATCTAGTGCTTAGTAACTATAATTTGACTAGTGTTACAAATAGCCAGGATAGTTTTCTAATGATGGTTTCAATAAAATTTAATTACTAAAATTTGTATTTTTGTTTAAATATTTATATAATGACATTTTATTTATATTCCAGCAGTTTTAATATTATTTGAATATTTATGATAAGTTAGGTAACAAATCCCAGTAATGTTACTTGTAAGTTACAACGTTCAAATATTTATATTCTTTCTGAGGGTCTGACTTGTACTCATACGTGTGCTCCGCGCAAAAGTCGCAACTGGTCGCAACGAACTGATTGAAATTGAAATTGCTCCAATTGGGCTACACACGCGACAGCAGCAGGGCCAATCTAGGGAGTAAGGAAGGTCTTGCGCTCCTGCAGTGTTGCAAAAGTGAAAAATAAAAAATCGGTAGATTTCTGGAGAAATCGGAAGATTTTTATTTACATCCATGGGTTTAGAAATAAATCATAAAACGTTCTTTTAGATGTCGTTCTTTTTCGTTTCATTTTTTTTTGCGATCAAAATAATGTCTTTATAATTTAAACTAAAATTTTATGATTATATATTTTTGCTACTCACGCTTCTCCAAAATTCTTCTGTTTCTTCACTGAAAGATTTAATTTCTTTCGTATTTAGAAGCAAACGTCATTCTTAATTAATTTTTTGATAACTAATGCTACCTAACAAATTTGGACATAAAGCACAACAGTTCTCAACAAAACAGAAGAAGGCTAGTAATTAGTGAATGTAATTCTATGAACGAACAACACTATATATACATGGCCTAAGCTAACTAATTCGTAAAACAACCCGAACAAAGTAATCTTTAGGGATCTCCCCCGTACAATTACCAGACAATAATGAACTCTATTTTAAGATGTATCAGTGCAATATGCTTTAACCATACCGCGAAGTTAAAAACCTAATAAGTTTATAGGTACAGGGCTTCCCGAAATTTCGGGAAGTCCCCTTAGATAGATTTTATGTTAAAAGTTCATTTTAGTATTTTGATTATTACTTTTCAATTTTACTTATGATTCTTATTTTACATTAGTTGAAAATGTAAAAAAATCGGGAGATACATTCGCTAAATCGGGATATCGGGAGATACTAATTAAAATCAGTAGATCTCCCGATAAATCGGGAACTTTTGCAACACTGCGCTCCTGCCACCCTGCCGCAGGGCCGACTTAAAAAATTGCCCCTGCTTGCCTACACACATCACAATTAAGGAGGCAATTAAGGGTCATCCCCACTCCTACACCCTAGATTGCCCCTGCGGCCGGCATGTCAGTAGCCGCCTTTAAGAAACCGACCAGAGGGGAAGCTACATACAAACGTCTCGCTGCGGGTACACCCACACATAGCGCAGCAATGTGTGCGTGAGCTCTCACCGTCAGGTTCACCGACGCTCCGTCGGGGTGCAAACCGGTTTGCGGTTTGCGCCGGCTCAGTCTAGTCTTGGGCATAGTCGGTCGCCATTGGGAGCGCTCAATTTAGTTCAAAGTGCTATAGCGAACTAGTTCGCTCATTTAGTTCGTTAGTTCCTTTTTTAATTTTTCAGTAGAGCTAATTAAAAAGGATGAGTTTATTGAGTGTCAGTAAATAAAAATTAATTGAATTTGCTTTAAAAAATATTAATGGTTTAATTAGTATGTAATATACTACATAATATATAATATATGCAAGACACTTATCAAGAACTATTTGATGATATGGAAATTAAAGTAAAATAAAATAAATGAAACTAAACATATTTTATATTTTTAAAGTGTATGAATTAATGAAAATAACACAACTGCAATTTATAGATTACATGTCGCTAATTAATATATAACAAGCCTCAATATAACGAATTCCCCGATTAAAAGAATTTTTCGAAGTCCCCTAGAACTGTAACTATAATTCTACATTACGAATAGATTTTATCAAACACATCTTTATAACGAATTTTAATCATTGCAAAATATATATAAAAGGTATTATTTACCTCTATTTAACCAATTTTTTCAACTTGAAATCTTGACATAACATCCTATTACCTAATTATTCCCACTTAATTCCACAATAAATTATGTCCTGACAGGTTCAGACACGTACACGACAGGCAGATGACTATTTACGTAATGTTGGGATTAATAAACAAGTTTTCTTACTTTGTTAAAACGAATCGTAGTTCCACCTAACCTCTATATAAGAAACCTCATTATAACGAATCACTTGGTATAATAACGAATACTTTCTAATTCCATTCAGTTTCGTTTATATTTAGGTTGCACTGTATTTGAGTATTTATTAAAATTAGTAGAAACAGAAAAGTAAAATTTTAATTTTAAATAAACTTACCGTAAAATCAAATTGAGAACTATACGGTATTTATGTACTGTTTACTATCACTTTTATATTAATATTATGAGCCAGCAATATTTGTTATTTGTTGTGAATTGTGCACTAATAAAACTTTTACTATAGACTATAAATTATATATTTTAATAAGAAACTCTGGTAAGAACAGTAAGAGTAAAAATAAATCAATCGATTAGCCATGGAGCGCCACTCCATAATAGAGCGGACGCCAGAAAAATAAATATTTAAAGAACTAAGAGCGAGATTGTCGACGAACTAGTTCGCATAGTTCACCTAAAAGAGCGCTCTTCCCACCTAGGTCGTTCGCGAACTACCCAAGACTAGCTCAGTCAGAGTGTGAATGAAAGGGCTGTTGGTCACGCGCATTGAAATAGACAAATAATATTTCGTGATTTTATAGATCAATAAATTTTTAATTTTTTTTCGATTAGAGTTAAGTTTAGAGATTGTGTACTATAAAATAAGATATTATACATTTATATATATTTATATTAGATAATTAGTATTCGTATAAGCAAAATGCCTAAGTTGTACAGTATGCTTGAAAAATTCGAGAGAAAATAATACAATAGCCATACAGTGGTGCAGTCAATGTTAGTGATAGTAGAGCTGGTGATGGCTTAAAATTTTCACATGCATCAGGTGATAACCCTATCAGAATAGGTATAGATTTTGTTAGGAAGCTTCCCCTCTGGTCTTTACTCTTTACTCTGTGCTGCGGGCACGCGCGCGATTTCTCGAATGGACGAGTCGTGTGAACGAGACAACATGAACATAAGCGCCACTGCGTGTATTCAATAAAATCGTTTCGAGATGCGGCGTTCTCTGTGGCAACTTCGTACAGTATACTGTAAAAATTTATCTCGAACACGACGTTTACCCGTATGGACTCCATGTGAACAGTTTGACATGTTATCTTCTGCCACTACCATGTTCGATAAAATCAAGTGTACGGTATACGGGAAAAGTATGGCCGTGTGAGCGTGGTCTTAGGCTACTGTCACCTATGATATGTAATGTAAAAAGAGGAATGTCGCTATAATATTCAAGAGACATATAACAAGCGAAAAGCGAAAATAACGTAGGTAGGTTTGGATGCAGATTTATACATACAATCACAACCCAACTCGAAAAACTATAATTTATAATTTTGCCAAAATCAATGGCAACGTGGTAGAGCCATGCTGCAGCTATATTACTGGTATAGTTGTAGCACGAATGATGGTCAGCTCGACCGGGGAAGGACCAGGCTCTCACAGAATACCAGCGTAAAATGGCAGCTTAACGCTGCTGTGTTTCGTATGCTGAATGTAGAGAACCGGAGACCCTTTTTACTGGAAACGAGGCATTCCATTTTAGTCCTCACGGGTGACAACGCATATGCATTTTGATTCGTAATCGAGGATATATGTAGATGTCTATGGGCCACAGCAACCACTTACCATCAGGTGGACTGTGTGTTCGTTTGTAACCCTAATTCTATAAAAAAAAAAACGTTATAAATTGTAGGCTTTTTGGCACTCGAACCTGTCTCCCGTAGTAAGTG